ATGACATAATTTATTTAAAATGTTGGTTTTGATTAATATTTTTAGGCATTAGTTTTCGAACATTTTCAGGGCATTTACATAAGATTCCTATTATAGCCAAGTTCTGTCACTAAGGTAAGCAAGTGACATAAGTTCTATTATTGATTTGTTTTCTTGGAATACGAAAAGGCATGGCTAGACACGTCCGTACATGCCGCGTGCATTTTCTGTTTGTTCGATCACCACACCCAGTTCTTATATACGAATCTCATTTCTAAGATTGCGTTTTAACGAGGTTTCTTCGGCCCACATAGTTTGAATATAGCATGAAATAGGTGTATATCGTCAATGAAATTTCAGCATAAACTAGCTAGTATCCCCTTCCAAGTTGTCTACGACAGGCCTGGACGTCATTATGAACGGAGAACTTGCAGTGAATTGTTAGTGATAACTACTTATGTTTAGGTACGACTTGCACAACACCAGACGGGTTTTCACTTACACGACACCAGACGGGTTTTCACTTGCACGACATCAGACGGGTTTTCACGACACTAGACGCAGAGCACAGAAAGATGGCGTTGTGTTTGTAACAATTTCTTTCTCGAAGTGTGAAACCCAGTGGTGTAGTGCTATTAAAATAAAAAGGGGGGCTCTTGCCCAAAATGTTGCTAAAACGATAAAAAATTAGAAATTTGCCAATTTTTGGCATAAAAAAGGCCTAGCCCCCCTGATCCCTCCTGGGCCCCCCTGAGCCCCCCCTAGCACTACACCTCTGGTAAAACCCATCCGATATGAAAATAAATACGACATGAAAGTCAATCCGATATGTATATCAATCCGAAGTGAACTATGTCCGGCGTAATTGAGCCAATTTAAGCAACTCAGATACATTTGTAATCGTGAATCAAAAAGCGCTATCGTAGTTGAACCTTGAAATAGCACGCACTGCATCATAGACGTACATGCGACAAGATGCAGTCGTAGTTTACAAAAGACACGTTTTCGCAATTAAAAAGTGACAGTATGAGACCGTCAAATTTTTTCGTTTGGGGCTTCATTCCTGTTCGCATGATAATCTTTAAAGTTAAATTATGTTTTATAGACATTATCTAAGAGGTTTTTACAATCTGCTTTTATAATCTGCTTTTGTTAAATGAACTGTAACCAAGCCAAATCTGAGGAACATCTCCAGCACCAAGTTTGACATTCCTTGTGCAAAGCTTCTAGATAACAAAATTACAGTAAGCAAAGGGTTTGAAACTAGTGAAGAATAGATGTGACCTCAAAGAAATAAACAGCTTATCTTGCTTTTGAGTTAGAAAATAAATATTCCAGTATCAAGCTTAATTGAGAAATGAAAACTCAACTTGCGTATGGAGGAAGAAAATTAAGAAAAGTTTATGCTTTGCATTTATTGAAATACATTTGCACATTTACGGTGATGCGCAGTGCATTGTCGTATTTACCGCAAAACGCACCAAGTGTTCGTATTTACGACAATGTCCACTCACGTTTTAACAAGATACACCGCGTCGTCCTATTGTGAGGCATTATATTTACAACCACATTCGTCGTACAGTTGGCGAACGGACGCACGCACGAATTGCGTAGTCCTATTTACGAAAGGTTGCGATATCATATAAACAAGACATGCCATTTCGTCATGTTTTCGACAACACACTCTTCATTCTCTTGTTTGGATAAGACGCTCTTTTGAGCCCGTATCCAGGCCAGTGTAGTAGAGGTGGCAAACTACCTATGTCCAATTCAGGCGAAGTTTAGAATTAAGTTTTTTGCAGTTTGTATGTGGTAATTGAAGTGAAGTTGTTACAATTAAGCAGTATATGTATCCGTCTTTAGTCCTAGGTGAGTAATGAGAGACCCCAATAAACAATTTTCTCTCCGCTCCAATGAAAACGACGAGAAAACCTATTCAAAAGATTAGGAACAAAAGTCTCAGGGTCGCAAACAGCCGGTATTCTCGTGCATTAGGAGTGGCATTACCACCCCGTGCCACCCCTTGGCTACGGACCTGGTGTCATATGATTTAGATAAAGACAGACCAGAACACGTCGTCAGACATGAGACAAGAGGCATCACTGTATTTATGAAACGTTTTTAGAAGAGTTCAGTGTCATCATATTTTAAGCACGATCCTCCACGTCGTCCCCTTTTTGATAAGGTGCTCAATAATTTCCTATGTTTAACAAGGCGCATCAGTTCGTCACCTTCACGATGACTTGCTTCCACTTTCTTGGGCTAATACCTTAAAATATTTTGGGAAACACATTTTATGGTTTTAGCCCAAGGAAGACCTCTGATTAACCTCTGATTAACCTCTCCGCCAGTTTGTTGGGAAAAATTCCCTGTATAAGTGGCAATCATAGTAAATCACATAAGAATCATCTAATAGAATAACTTTTTTTCTAACAGTAATGCAGAAAAAATCACCATAATTGTTGACGAAATTTACTAAAGTACCCTTTCCAATGATATAATTTTTTCGTTCATTCAAGGACGCAAAGCAAAATAGACTAGAATTATAGACAAGGAGCCTTACCTTTGTTCTCCAATTAGCACCCGTCCCCTTCTAATGAGCGCTCCGCGCTAATGAGTATCACATGTCTAAAACGCCCCTGGGTTTCATTGACAAGGTAAGGCCTAAAGTGAGATCGCTGTATTGTCTTACATTAATTATTTACATGAATTTTCAAAAGTAAATTTAAAATTCGTGCATTTATATAGATTATAATTTTCAAACAATCTGCTTTGCTTTTGTTGCACGTGGTCTGTCAATTTGCTAGCAGTTTAAACAAAGATTCAAAAGAGTTTCACAAGGCTTCTTTAATTCCATGAATCGCTCTATTTCTACACTGTGGCATATGCAAGGGGAAGCATTGCCCTAGTGATTAGTCGAAAAACGCAAAGACACTGGTTGAACTTGCTAGACTGTGTTTGATGTTTGTATCATTTTTTGGTATAAGAAGATTCTTGATTCAAATCCATCCAACAGGTTTTCCTTCTATCTCAGAGCATTTAGGGCGTGGCAGCAAATTATTTTTTGGGCTATACCCCAAAGAATACCCAGCTTTTAGATGATGCGTCTGTCTGCACATCATTTTTAACTGAAAGAAAAAAGTTAATTTCTCTTTCTTTGAAAATTCACTCGCTCCGTCAATCAGAATGATTCAATATACTTTTCCACAAAAATGTGAAGAAACCTGATATGCTTTGTACTATCGACGGTGGTTGTTGAGTACACACGAAACGAGTCTTCACTTGTTTAAACGCTGAAAAAGACTTTAGGCTGATGACATTGATGGTGTTTAAGCTGTTGATTGCTTTGCCTGTTGATTGTCAAAAGCAATTGATTTGTGCATCTGAATTCCCTTTTTACTTGATTGCTAACCATTACCCGCTAAGAGATAGGATAAACTAATAAAAGTCGGTGAACAGCTTATGTCAGGGAATATCTTGAGCGATGGTGTCCCCAGTGGCTCTATCTTTGAGCCACTTCTCTTTAATATGAAATAAAATAAACATAGCAATAATAATTAGCTATTCTCACGGAATGCTTGCACAGTAACCTATGACATGTTTACAGCAATGATATCCCTCGCTCTCGGTATTATATCCTCGTACTCAATTAACTCTTTCTATATTGGAAGAAGATACAGACAAGAATGTTTCTGTTGCAGCAAAGTGCAGACACCCCAAAGTGCAGAAAGTGATTACGCTAAGAAATGTGGAATGTATTGATTGGAATAGCGATATCAGCATTAGAGACGGTGTTTCAATTTTTTATCAAGCAAAAGATGCAAGGTGATTCTATCAATTATAAAATGCCTATAAGGTACTGTGTGGTATTCATGCAGATGTAGCTAGATTGAGCGTGCCAATGAAAAGATGGAAGAAAGATGGCTAGCTGAAATTGGACGGCATTATCAACAAAAAAGACTTCGAACCACGATGCAAATTCCTTTCTCTTCAGTTATCCCTCCATAAAAAAGCAAATACTACAAAAATCAATGATGCATTTCGTCCAACTTAAGTCGTTGAATTTTTTGAAACTATTCTAATGCTCAATCCAAAATTCACGGAAGAGCATTAACTTACTGCGTGTCAAGTCCATTATGTAATTTCATTAGTGCCGCTCCCACTCTATGCTGGTGCTAATTAGTGCCTCCCCGCTTTAAGAGAAACGTGACTGACCAGTTTCAGACATATTAATGTTGCTAATTGGCTGACGGATGTAATTCTATTTCGCGGAATGCTTTGGCCATTACATGAGGCTGCCTTATTTTTAACTTGCTTCGCAAGGATTTTGCGCACTCAAATGGACGAAGAATGGTGTTTGCCTCTCAAACCCTACTTCCACAATCCTCTAGTGCAGGAGTCATATTTCTGCACGACATCTATAAAAAGAAAAGTACAAGTTATGAATAAGTAAAAAGCTAATAAAACACAATTCAAGAACTTATGTAAAACTAGGATTGAATTCAGGCAAACGTCTGATTTTCCTGGGAGTCGTATTTTATCTAGGGTTTACAGAGCTGTTATGTAGGGTCCAAATGTGTTTTTAATTTTCATTTGAACTGATGGAGCGAGGGGATCTCCCTTAATTCTACATTAACTCTATGCCATGCAACGTTACAATTTGCAGAATATCTTAGCTTTGATGTACAAAAATATTTTCAAAGCTCCTCCATTATACTGAAACCTAAGGTTTTCTCCGAAGCAGGAGGTTGCAAATTCCAAATAACCACTGATACGGGGGTTTACGTATAAAATTTGTTCAAAAAATTCATAGTAAACGCCAGTTCTTGAACCAAAGGTAGCTTTCAAGTCTCGTATGAAAGAAAAAATTATCTGCTGTTGACATACTTGTACCGACAAACTTGCAATTAATTAGAAAAGACTGAAATGATCTATTGTGTTTTGACACTTTATCCATTATGAAAGATGAAGATTCCCCCGGCCTTACTGGAACCAATCAGAGATGACGTTTCAAGCGCGCATCACCGTGTGTGCTTGCTGCCATTTTTTCTTCGTTATCGAGTACATGGACAAATCGTACAAAACTGGTCCAATTTTCTGTGAGTTTTTGCCAAGTTAGATGTTGAAATTCGCCTTTTGCAGCATCGGCATTCGGAGATATGATCACTCCAATCAAAGAGCATGAATAATAAAGAAACAGCAACCAATGGAGCTTCTTTAGAGGATTGCAGAACCAACGTGTTCCCGCTGGTGAGTTTTCATCAACCACTACCGCTGTCGTAGCGGTTACATTTGGCCGTCATCGAAACCCGTCATTTCTGTGTCATTTTTGTTAATTTACTTATTGATACATTTGATATGGTGTAATTATAGGTTTATGTATCTTTTACTCTTTCTATATTTGTTTTTGGATGTGAGTTACGGATGTTTCTTGAACGTTAAAAGTACTGTCAATTGACCTCCACAACAAAACACGCAAACAAATATTTTCAGCACAGCCCATTCGGACAATGCCATTTTACCATGATTTTATGTCATATAAAGGTTCATTTGAATAAAGATTGTAACACTTTGAACTGTACATCTACTGCCAATGAAATCCGGTCTTTTGCGTGTTTGAAAGCTAGCAAATGACTAGACTATGATACCGGCCTAATTGTGCTCGCTCTCGTAAACATAAATTGATAGCTTGTACAACGAAAGGTTTTTATTGCCCAAAAGCCTTTGTATCCGCAATAAATATGAGATGACCCTTGTTATCAGAATAATGAATATTTCATTCCAGAAAATTTGATTTTCTTAGAACATTAGAAGAATGAAACTTCAATTGCTTTCAAGAATTTAACCAATTTCCTGAATTTGGGTCTGGGCCTAACCATGCGAATCGATGGCACTGAAACATTCGACCAAGATTTGGACTCAGATTTCAGTTTCATCGTCGTAGGGGATTAAGAGACAAGGCGTAGGTTACAGATGGGAAAACGCATTCGTCTTGCATTGCCAATTAGATTGTTAACGATATGTGGCGAAGTGGAAACTTAATTACATTCATAACACAAAAAACAACCAGGTCTCTTGTGCTGATGTCATAATGATAACCTCAATTGATCGATCACAGACTTTGTTTTTGGAAAATTTTCAAGAAATTGATATAGTTACATCTTCATGATTTTATATTTTTTATGAAGCAACAGCAATATGGCATTGTTTGTTTCTAAAATGAAGTAAAAGGTTGTCAAATTGTAACTTTGAACAATGAATAAATCTTATCTTATGCCAAAAATATCTTAATTAGCTTGTTGGTTTATATGCATCTGTTTAGGCATGAAATCAACAAAGAAATATCCAAGTAATGAAGATTAAGATTTTTATGGCTGAAAATTACTTTGTTTATTACTGATAGTTATAGTATAACCAAATAATATGCAATTCATGATTTATATATATATAATTATTGCTATTATTGGTATATAATTTTATACATAGCTTATGTATTTATTCATCTATTTATTTATTTGTATATATATTTATATATATATAAATGTATTTGTTGATTGTGTTGATATCTTATCATGACATTAGTTTTGATCAGCTTTATCAATAAAGCAAAGGCTGATTTGCCAATAAGAAGTGTTGATTTTTGCATAATATGACACCTATGGCTATATTCTATGCTCCATATAATCCATTTACATAAAATAAGATTTTAAAACATTTAGCTTTTTTTATTAATAATATTGACTGTAAAACACATTCAAAGCCACTTTGAAAATCTCTTTGAAAATCAATATGTATGTATGAAAAGCAAAAGAAACGAAATCTTGCTGTTATAACAAAGGAAATCATGAATTAGGTCTTTATAGATACAATGTATAGTAAAATGGGGATTAACAGAATCGTGCACATGAGACTATTCACAGAAGCAAATGGTAGATTTGCACTTTTGTATCAATTAGTTAGAATATTTTCCATTTATTATATTTATAGTCATTAGTTTTATGTATATTATATTAGTTATCATAGTTTATATTTTCATTTGAATTTCTTGATTTCATGTCAGTCAATATAAATGTAACAATTTCTTTATTAGATAAAGCCAATGTAAAGTTAGTCACAGCATTTTCATACTCTAGCAGCTACGAATGACATTGTGCCATTGAAAGGCTATTCATGTATTTCTCCTTTGATGGAAAATTATTAGTTGAGTCAAAATGTTGGTTTATATATATATTATTTAATTTTTGTTATTATCACAATATTATTTTTAGTCTAATATCACAATTTGTGCTACTGTCTGTTTAATGTTTTACATTACTCACTGTTTTCACTATTATTTATTGGTTACATTGTAACAAAATATGTTCTCCAACATTCCATTTGCATATTTTTCTCTTTTGGCAAGGAACTGGTTTGATTATGCATTTTGTTTGTATGTTCTTTGTTTAGTTTTGTCATCCATGACATGACTATCTTCTAACAAATGTTGTGTGTGTGGCAATATTTATTGTGTATCTGTGTATATTATTTATTGTCAGCAAGGAAGTGACCTTAGATAATGTTGTATCTTATGTTAATTATTTGTTACTTGGAAACTTGATGTCCAAAGCTGGAAAGCTTGTACAAATATCATCATAGAGAACATACAGGAGTAAGGAGATTGAGAACTTTTTTACCCAGAATCATGCTGTACTGATTAAGATGCAGTTTTCAAATAAAAAGTTTCAAAACTGCGTTTCTATAGTATGAGTTGAAAGTTGAATTTACAAAGTGTGAAAAGGAACTTGTAAAGAGTCTGTTTAGAAGCAAAAGATGACTTTTGTAACAAAAAGGGTTGTCTTTGAGCAAACATAACAGAAACATTCAGAGTTTGTAGTGTAGATAGCAGAAGCATTCAGAGTTTGTAGTGTAGGTAGTTTCTATACAAAAGGATGTATTCTCAAAGAGGGGCTAATGACTTCTGAAGCAGAATTTTCAATACCTAAATATATATATTGTTCTTTTGTTTCGTATTCCTTATTTTACGCTCCAGATGTATGTGTTAGTTATTCTGAAGAAGCTTATAGCGAAACATCAACCAAGTTGTTTTTTTATTGAGTATCTATATATATATATATTTAGGTATTGAAAATTCTGCTTAGTTTGACATTTAGTCTGCTTATAGGTTACATTTTGAACAGTTGCAGTTAAATAGTACTAATGCTTTGTATCTTAAACAAATAATTGGCAGGGTTCTATCTCATCTCTTTGGATTGAGCAAAAGATTAAGCTATTGAGCACATGCTTTATTGTTATTTGGAAAAACAATTTGGTGCCAGTGAACCAAAAGGGAGGAAATGTTCCCTTGCCTTTCATGTTTGGGGTACATTCTGGGTTTCTATGGCAAGCAGGGAAAGTTTGCAATCCTTTATAATATGAATAAATTATGCTGGGATCAAAATAGAATCATCATTTAAGTTCTAGAATATTGATGGTGGCAGTAAGTACCCTCCAGTGACTAAATGTGTTATTGACTATGAGTTTTAATCTGGTCAACAATTTTTATCAAATGAATTGTTATGCTTATAATAATTCTGTTTTGTCTCAAAAGTGTTAAGCCAGGTAAATGTTTTTTGAGGAAGTGTTAATTTTAAATTCTTGACTCTAGGCTGATGCAAGAGGACTGCAGTGGAGAAAATTTGCTGTTTTAAGTGGTGGAAGCTTTGCTAGGATATCTGAAGATCCAGTGCTTATTTCCTATGCCAATGCCATCCAGCAAGGGATACTTTGCTCATGGCAGAAATGTCAGCCAAACAATAGAGAAAGTGGTGGAAAATTAGTAGATTGGACAAAAGAATTGGTAATTTTTTGGTATGGAGAGGAGCCTCATTTTTCTGAAATTGTTTCACCATCATTAAGAGGTTAGTAGAGATTATGAATTTGATAAAAACATTTTATTATTATGTAATTTGAAACCATAACTTAGTTATCATACATTTTTATTTTCAGCCAAATAATCCTGAATATTTACATTGACCTATGAGGCTTTTGGTATAATGCAGTTCATTCAAATATTGCCTGCTGTCATTTTGAAATGTGATAGAGGATATTCATGCGGCGAAAGCTTAACTTTTCATACATAATATCCCAATTTTGAGTTTGAACACCAGCTAATCTGCTAAAAGCAGTTTCAGTGCTTCTAGAATGGAAATTTTTTGCCCCAGGTCAAATTTTACTAAAAAGCCAAGAGTTACTTCCGCTGTCAGTTTTCACAAAAGTTATTTCATTAAAGATACAAAAAAGATTAAAAGCCATCAGTGTTTTCATAAAAATACTTTCTTTAGTCTCAAATTTGTACCACATCTTGAATGCAAGACTAACAAAAAATGAGATACAAAATTAGTTGTAGTTATCCTTCAAATGAGCACGTAGATTTTTATTAAAAGGCGAAAAGAACATCAGTGTTTGAACAATAGAATTAACAGGAAGTGAATGAATGGAAGCATTCTGCCTCATACCTATCACTGTAAATTGTGTAAATTAAATACAGGATTCTCCGCTTTATTGTACTTCTTATAAAACTATAAACAAGTTTCTTCATAGACACACTGTGCAATGAACTGTGCAATAAGCTTTAAATGTAATGCTTTCTTCAATGTCTTTTCATTTACTAAACTTGCAAGCTTTTCATATCAAATTGTACTATTCAGCTGGTTTGCTAATAATTGTTACACAAATGTTGTGTAGCTACAGCAATAGATGAAGCATGTATTAAGAAACAGCTAGATTTTGAGACAGTTTTGGCAATTCTTTAGCTCTTTAAACTGATCATGTTGACAAAGCCATTAAGAACAGCCTGAGTCTTTTGTTGTTGTGACCGCATAAATTTCTTCCATGATTGTCTATCCAAATGATTCACTACTTAATCCTGTTCGACTGCCAACGATAAGAAATAGTTTTTGTTTTGTTTGAACAAAAATTTTTCATAGTGTATTTAATAAATAGGGCAATATGACCAAAATTTGGTCATAATTTGGTGCGATTGACTGTCAGCAGGCAGCAACCTCCCTCGCGAATCAGGAAATTATTCCGTTTTAAAATGCAAGGAAATCAATGGATGCACAGAGGTCAGCTGCCGCTTTCTTGCATTGTTTGTGTTTTTTGCCCAGGACGCTGTCTTTGATTTGAAATAACATTAAGTTGTAATTGAAAACATAGCCTTCGAAGACAAGATGTCAGATTTTACTGAATATTGAGAGCTTCGTGGCAAGAACTGTGTGTTTTTTCCGAAATCAAATTGATTTTCATTGAGATCATTTCGGCAGCGTAAATACGCAGGTTGGTTTTCCAGCAAACCGCAACTTAAGCGGTTCCTCAGGCATATCGGTTATTTATTATGCCAAGAACTATTGCTGATATCACTTTGGCAGCCCTAATATCGGGAAACGAGGATCAATCAGCTGGCCCGAAAAGATATTTTTTTTGCTTAGGCCTGCTAAGTAACACATGACTACTTGTGGCGGACCCTAAGTGGCCTAATAACGTTGCTTAGTACATGCCCCGAAATCAACATCGTAGACAAAAGTGGCTGTCCCCACCCCCTTTTCTTCCTCTCAATTGGCATGTTGCTGCATACTCATCAACTGTATTGGCAAATCTATTTCAAAAATTGACTGGCTTTAAGTACTTTACGTTTTCGTTTTCTGGTGTCGTTTTCTATTGTCATTTCCTGTTGTCGCTTTATGTTGTCGTTTACGTTTTCGTTTACGTTGTTGTTTACGTTGTCAGCACTGCTATTCAAAACCTTCTCCTGCTTTATGATCTTGTGCAGTTGTAATTTCCCGGTTTCTTTTGTTTGTTTGAAATCTGGCACGAAGGACGAATCAAATGGATAGTTGATGTAACAAATGCTGCCCATGCGTTGGTGCATCAACTGTTGCAAGTCCTGGTCAAACGTTGCAGCAGTTTTTGGCCGATTTGGCCGCTTTTGATTTGGCTGCAGCATGTTGCACCAACTGTGGGGTTTGATCACAACCCGTTATAAAACGCGAATTGCCGCTAGGGGGTCGTCTTCACAACAAAGATAAATTGCAATTGACTTTCTACTTCATAATTCACTTGCGAATAGTCCTGCTTATTGGCGAAATGTAGTAATTCTGTACAAAAATATGCGGGGCACAGATGATTCGATCTGTTTAGGTAGATTATTTGTTGCCTGCTCTCAGCCTTTTTGTTAGTGTACATATTTGGAGAAGGTTACAATTGACAGTTGATGACACTCCAGATAAAAGTCATGATTCGATGAGCTGATCTAAGGATGTGGATCATACCTGGTTCCTGGTTAAGACTGCCTGATTTCAAAGCATTTGAGCCCAAAGTTGCAAAGCACAACCTTTGCTGGGTACATGATAAAAGTTTGCCAGCACCACAAATAAAACAAACTAGTGTAATATATTTATTATCATTCTGTCTTAATTCCATTTTATTACGTTTGTAACCGCAACAAGAAAAGAAATGCACCTTCCTGCTTAATGTGATTGTCTTAAACCTCTATTTATGTAATTATTCCAGTGCTGGCGTCGGTTGATCCGTGACTCCATTTTGTCATTAACTTCAGAGCTTAGTTAAGTCGTGTGGATTTGTTTAAGACGCTAACTTTCTAAATGACAAACTAGCCATCAAGCTAAATTCAAAAATTCAAATCCTACTGCAAATAATAATTGTCTGTCTAATGCCGTATCAAAATATTTCTCCAAACGTTTTTTCTTGAAAGGAAGAAAAGAGCAGGGAAGCGAACAAATTGATTGATGTTCAAAACTGAAAGAATAGATACTTTCAACCAAACTATTATTCCTAAATTGTTCTTAATTTTAAGCAGTTTGCTCGAGCCTCGATGTTCTTATAAACCAAATTCCTATAAAGGAAATGTGTTTAGAAGAACTAAAACGAACAAGATTTGTAAACGTTTTGTGAACTAAATCTCAGTCTTTCCGGATCAATTAGTGACAAATGAAAATAAATATATACGAAAAGTTATTACTAGCTACCCGGACGCGATTTATTATGTCATTTCAAATATCATGTTGATTATACATGTCGATAAATTACTGCGAAACATCCCGTAGAAGATTGTTCTTATGAAGGAACATCTCTATACAGTGGACATCTTCAAACAACGGACAAATTAGTTCGTCCGAAAATTTCTTTCTTCCAGACATACAAGCTATAGACCAGAGCCCAGATAGCATGACGGTGGCATGACAACCGGCCCTGGGCAAATGAAATCAAAAGAAACAATAGTGCCACACCCAAACCACACCCTTTTGTGTTGTGTTTCTAAAGACGGTTTTCAGAGCCGACAAGTGTATTGTCCGGAGGAAGTATACGGGCACTTCCCTGCAAAGCCCAATCTCCAGTGAGAAAAGTCTTGCGAAATTTCGCTGCGAAATACTTCACGCGACAAATTCCTTTGAATACTTTTGTTGACCTCACGACATTGTAATGTAAAGTTTGGAAGCGTGACAAAGGGATATGAAATATGATTGGCTGCTGAAGTGTTTAGGATGAAAAGCGAAAAAGTTAGACTCGTTTTAACTCTTTTTCGTTTTTGCGAGAAATCCCAGAAAAAGTTCACTGCGCATGCCCAATACATATTTCGCGCGAACTTTTTCTTATTTCGCTGATTTTTTTCTCACCGGGGATTGGTCTTAACAGACAGATAGCTCTACTTCCCACGCATGTGCTTTACGTCTATGTCTTCCATTGACAAACTTCATCCTCTCTCAGATTGTCTTTGTTTTGTGTCTTGTGTCTTGCAAAATTTCTTGCAAAAGAGCTCCAAACCTTTTCACATAAGGCAATACGTAATGCCTGTTTTTGACTGCTTCACTTAGGAAAGAATTATTCCATTTTGAACATTTGAATGTTTTTTCAAATCTGCAATCTATGAAAGGTTTATAATCAGGGTTGTTTTATTGGGAGACTATTTGCGCGTCGGGAGGGCAAACTGAAGACCTTAAGCCTAAGTCTTAAACCTGACACTCTTTAACCTTGTGTGACATGAAAGAATGTGACATCAGATGACAGAATTTTGACTGGTATTAATTAGAGTGCGGCCAGTTCTCATAGTCTTTTTCTAGCTAATCGCCAGTTAATGCCAGCCTGCGATGGGCGCGTTAATTCATTTTTGCTCTTATATTGAAAAACCTCTTGTGAAATCACGACTAAAGATGTTACTGCCTTTTTAAGTTGGGAAATTTAATAGTATATGAATATCGGATAGTGGTGCAGAAGAGGGTTTTGTTCTTAATTTAACGATATATTTGCGTTAAGTTTGAAGCGGGTTGTGGTCTGTCCGTTTTGCAATCATTCCGTCGCAGATTATGGCTTGGATATGATTACTGTACGCTAAAAGAAGTATGGTTTACGTTGTTTAGGTTCGCATTTTTTGTTTTAATAACCAACATAATGACCTAGATAATAATGTTATGGTTTCCTTTTTGAAAGAAGACTGAGGATATTGGCGGATTTGCCACTAAATTGCTCGGCTCAGCTAATTATGCAGCTTGCATTTTAATCTTCTTGAGTTTGTTTAATGAAAAATGAAAAAATCTTTATTCATTACAATTGGAGTAATGAATTGTTGCTTATCTAGACTGGAAGCTTTTGGTTTTAATTTGGTTTTCTTTAATTTGGCAGACAAGCACAATTTTATTTCGAGGTTTACGATTTGTTATTGCTTCGATTTTTTTTAAATAATTTTGAAACATTTGCCAAAACTTGTATGAATTATCTTAGAGATATTTTGAAATTTTATTAATTTGTGCAAAATGTTATTAATACCAATTAGTTTTTGATTTATCGCATTTAACCCTGCTTTCGTCAATCGTTTTATCTTCAATAATTGTTTTTTCGTTACAGAAAAAGAAAGAGGTTGCTTCGAAGATGGAATGTCTTACGAGTATCAATCGCTGTTTTTTGAATCTCTCCATAAACAGCTTGAAAGGTACGTTTTATAAGTTGTATTGTTTATACGGTAATGTTTTCCAAGAAAAGTGATTTGGTGCTTAAATTGTCTTGAATCCTGATTAGCACCAATGTTATTTTTTGAAGCTTCAAATTACCATATCAATTGAGGTGGTAGACAGGAATCAAAGATTAATTAGTTGGAAATAGATATCAAGAAAGTTTGGTTGTCACGAATGTAAAAAATTAACGATACGATTATTGTAGACGGACGACATCCGTTGTTTTAGGCCCTTTTTTGTTTGCCGTTTTAAAAGTGATCTGTTTGCTTTGAAAGCAGCAGTTGTTCTCAGTTGATGAAAATGCTTGCTACTTAAAAATAGGTGTTTTAAATAACATTCAACGGGCATTTCGCCACAGTTATTCATCCTCCAAGCAGACGGCTTGTTCTTCAGAAAGTCGAAATGAAGCATTAGAAACTTGGAAGAGTTTTAGCCTACAACTGGTTGGGGAAACTTGTATGTCCATGGCATTCTGTGCAGGTTAAGGTTTTCTTCTGGGTAGGGATTGATCCCGATTCATACCTTCACTGCGGGTTAACTAGCTGCGGAACCATAGTACGTATTAGACATTCTAGACCAATTGGCCCACAATGTGAAAAGTACGTGTTGATAGAGTACCTCGCGGAGGGTAACTTTGTATACTTGAATGTACAAGGACGTGCCATTATTTAGAGGTACATTTTTCTAAAAAGTGTGGAATTATTGGTTTTTGAAATTTGTGCAGAATTATGGGTACCAATTGAAGAAACATGCAGAATTATGGGTAACATTTTGGGAAAATATTGCAAAATTATTAGGAGGGAAGTTTAGCGTTTTGTTATCTCTTGAAAAATTTTCTTTGACTGGCGGAGTTATGGGTATACTTTTCATCACGTTTGCAGAATTATGGGTCACGTTTTTTCAGACATGTGCGGAATTATAGGTCATTTTTAGTCAAAACTTTTTTATAAAAATGTAGTATAGATGATGCAAGATTAGAATGCAAAATGAAAACTTTGAAAGTCCCCTCTGGACTTGTTTACAATTTTGTTGTTTTCACGTCATGTAATATTCTTTCTTTTGCAACCAGGCGATAATTTTTTGTTGGTTATATTTAGGCAACTAATAAGCGAGAAGTTCTTTTGCAATGGCAGATGGTTTACCAAAAGCTGCAAGAAAGGTTGTGAATGGTAGGTTGCAAGCTCTCTATTCAATTCTTAAATGACCTATTACTTTAGTTGCGCTCTCTTATTGTTGCAAATTAAGAGTTTCATCTTCATGGGACAATAGTCTTTCTACGATCTCCCTGTGTTGGCACATCTGTTTACTGGCAGTTCGTGTGGAGGGCTTCAAACATGCTCTGCTTTGCCTCTCGCGCTTGGCTCCTGAATGACAGTTAAAACATCTGCGCTGTCGTACATCACAATTCTTGAAGAGAAAGCGGCTTTCTAACAATGTTTTGCCATCGGAAAACCTTTGCTTTCTACATCCGAGTGCTTATGCTTCGCTGTTCCGTACCTTTTTTGTTTGACAACAGTGATTTGACTGAAGTTTGATTTAGCTGTTACTATCATCTACTTACGCAATGCTGTAGAAGTTTTCGTGATCTATTTCCCTCTACTTTTATCACGCCTTGGGTTGAGCACACATCTCGTTCAGGCTTGATTTGCAACAGGGTGATCTACCGGAAGGCTTAGGACTACAATCTGTGATTTAAGCGTAGTGTTTTAGATTTCACTGGACTCCCAGCAAAAAGTTGACAGTATCTTCTTGTTAAAGTCACACTAAATTTTACATGAGAAGCTGTGATAATAAGCTGAGCTCGACTGTTAACAGAAGTTAATTGAACAGTTTTGCGAATTTCGGTCCAAATTTTATGTGATTGAAAATGATATAGTGTTTTTAAGCGAGGTGACTATAAGCGGAGTCGACTGTAATAATTATCCAGCTCGTTAGTCTTTTTTCCGCAGTGGGCCTGAAGACGCAAGAGCACTGGAGACAGAGATTTATATCACCTATCCACAGTGGATATAGCATCAAAAATTTGCCCATGATAAGGGAAAGATCTTAGAGCTAAGCTAAGAAAGACACACCTTACTTATCCAGCTAAATACACAAACACGCTAGTATTAGGGAGTTACGCTATAGGCATTCTTGCTTCGTCCCTAATCCTTGGATAATTTTAGAGCTTTTTTATCGTCCATGTTTATTTAATTCTTCCTTTCTCCCTTGCTTAACCTATGTGCTATGTGCTCATCCTTTCTTTAATCCAGACTCTGTTTTGTGCTCATGGCAGATTAAATGCTGACTCCTTTCTTGTGCTAGCCTGACTCAAACTTGTCATTTTACATCAGCTTAAGTAGCGGGTAGCTGCTGAAATGAACGCCATGAAAATTTCGTCTACCTTGCTAACTCTTCTTTTCTCGTAAAGTTTTGTTTTAATGCTTTGTGAGAAAACTGTTCATTGTTTCCCATATTTTAAAATCTTTCCCCTTGGTCTTTTGTTTCAACATTGCCAGGCTTTCTCTTTCTGTAGTTCCTTGGGGGAATTCTCACTGTAAGAGACTCGTTCTCTGCAATGCTGCTTAAAATGGAAGAGTTTTCACTCTTTGGTTTTGGTAGATAAGGCAGACCTTTGGTTGGTTTATTTATTTTTGACTAGCTAAGATCAAGAGTATGCAATTTGGAATATAATATTTTGGCTTGACTTCATTTCATATCAGCTTAGTTTGTCAAACTGGTCTTCAAATTTTAAAGAAATATATATTCGCTGCATGCATTTCTATAACTTTTCCTCAGCTAATTGGGTGAATCAGCCATTGTAACGATTAACCTTACTGACCTCTATGGCGACAAACGGTCTTTCTAGCATCTTTTTACACGGATCCCTTGTCATATGTTGCCTTTTACTTTCTCACAAGTCTTGTTGTATCGTATGAGTCCAGTCGTATCTTATGAGTACAAAGCATCAAGGATGGTTTGGCAACTCACAATATCACGAACTTCAAATTGCTAAGAGATTTGTCACTGTGGTTGTTTTTATAGCTATTTCAAATCCTCCGGGCAAATTGACTTAATCGGTCGATTCGCGTGAGGTTTTTTGGCCACTCAAGTTAGTTGTAATTTTTCATAGAATGAGACAGCTGACGCAATGCTTTATGTGACAACCGTTGTTGCTTAAGCTCGATTATTGATAACGATACGTAAAAGCAACATTTGCATGTATCCTGCAACAGCAGACACCTCTTGATTGCCGTATTGGCTTCTTCTATTCGCTTAACGTGATGTTTGTTCTTGAAATGACGTCATAATCTCAACCGGCAATTAGGTTAAGCGCTATACAACAGTCCCATTCTGAGCATTTCGTGGCTATCATCAAATCAGGGCTCAACTTAATCCAACCATATTCATTAAATGGATGAATTGTTTTTGTTCTTAATCGCATTGTTTGCCATGTGAACGCTACTGTTATAATAACCCTCTGTTGCTTGTGATGTCGCTGAAACTAGGCCCAGTCGTCACCACCGTAAACATAGTCATCACAATTCATCATAGCTATCATCTTCACAATCATAATCATCATCATGATCTTATTTATCATCATCATAATAATCATAATGTTTTTAGCACCGTCAAAGAATACCACCATTAGAACAACTTTGCAGTGAAAACGATTTATTCAACATTACCAAAATAAATCGTTTCATTTTGATTCAGAATTAACCGTCGACTGTTTTGTAAATTCCTTATTCAATTACATTGATCCCTAAGCGTTATACCCTGATCTACTTGCTCTCCTCCTTAATCCACAACCAAACTTCAATATAAAAGGTAATTAACCTGTGAAATCGCATCTCTTTGGTCCTGTCCTCTCTAATGATGATTAATAAAACCGTGAAATCCTAGAGTCAAGCCTATAATGCGTTTCAGCACACTACAAAGAGAATGTTCGACAGGGCAGCCAGCCTTTTCAACCGGGTTGATTGGGAATTATCAAACTGAATTTTGTTATGTGGGAACTGTCCAGAGCAGGCCACTCCCCATCAATAAAGCAGAAATTAAGGAAGGAGAGCTTTGCGTTTACTGTGCACTTATTGGCAGTTTTAACAAGCCGCTGTTGTTGTGGCTTTCAGGAATTTTGAACAGTCACCTCAACGAACCTTTCACAGAAATTTCATCTGGCTTTTTCAATTCCAATCCCATTTGAAAAAATTCCGGGAGTGTTCACTGAATACTAGCCGTTAATGTTGAAGGATTCTTTAAATAGGATTTTTCAGAATGGATCTCTGATCAATAAAAGTTTCTCCTTTCTTGCTAAGTAGCAATTCACGCCAGGGCGTAGGGCAGTGCGAAAGTGGGATTGTTTCAGTTGTTATCATGTTTATGTAATAGGATAGGCTTTGCAAATTCTATAAAGGAGTTATGTTTTTTCAAAAAGCAAGCACGTCTTTTATCATTCTTTCATTTGGCCCCTATCCATCATAATGCATTTTTTTATCTTTTCCAGGGAAACTCTGGCGTTCAGTTTCACCTTATCCATTTACGGTGAGAGCCTCGTTACCGCAAGTGTCGATGTTCAAAAACAGGCTGCCATAAGATGCTTGTCGAGAAGTGACCTGTCAGATGCAATGTCCGGTGATACTGTACACGGTAATTCTTAACTGTTCAACCATCATCAAAGTAGAGAACTTGCTGCCTGTTGATCTGACGTAATCATACTTTCCCCAAAGGCATTTTGAATGGTTTTTCACAACGTATGACTAATTCTCGATTAAACTTAACATAGCATTAGCAGGATATCTCTCGTATACCAAAGTTAACTGGTCTTCCACTGTCTTAAATGGTTTTGTAAAGCACTATATCACTGCTTCCTTGCAAGAATAAGCCACTTTATCTCTGAAGGCTCAAATCTCATTAAAAACATGTAGGGATATCAATGAGTTGAGATAAATATGCTTTTCTAGTTAAGACGCTGATAAGATATCAATTTGCACAATAAAACAACTGTAAATAGCTTTAGATATTTCTAAAAAAACCTTATCTTTTTGACAGGATTGTTCGTATTTGTATTTTCATTCATTCGAATTTGCCCATTTAAACATTTTGGCAAAGCGAAGAAGGAGCAAATTGTTTTTTTATGATCCTCTGGCAGCGCATATATTCAATGATAGGGTAATGGGTTATCAAAAACACACCAAGAATTATAATTGTCGTGATCACTTGAGATTTAGGTTATTTATTAGCTTAATGCTTTCGATGTTATTCTTCTTAAACCCGCATAGTTAAGGAAGTAGTGAAGTAGAATTTTAAAACTGAAAGCCCTGAGCAATATCGCAATATGCTACTTCTAATTGTACTCTTCAGTCGACCAGTTGATGCAAAAAGCCAGTCTACATTAAATCATGTTTATAGCTGTTCAGTGGCTTGAAATTAATCGACAGCTTTTTTGGGGGTCATATTGTAAAAATGGTCTCATCACTTAAAATTTTTCTTACTGTGCTTTGCCATGCGCTATTGATTTTAGGCCTGGAAACTTGACAGGGGTTTCTGCAAACTCATAATGGCATTTCTGTGAAATAAATTATGATAAAAACATTATCGGCATTTTTAATGTTTATCCCTTTATACGTTCCTTTTTCTCTTTTTTTGTCTTGTCGTTTCCGCATTCTGTCAATCACCGTAACGATAATATCCTGAAATGCTGAAAATTTCCAGGCCTGAATTCCGGGAAGATTTGCCCTTCGCGTATTTTAGATTATGCAAAAAACACCTGATTTAGAAATGTATGTAATAAACAGCAGCTTCACGCTGGTGCCGTAAGCTCCTGTACAGTGAATCCTGCACCACACCGATTGACTGCTGGGAGTTGTTTATTGGTCTTGAAAAACGCCTTGCTGATCTCATAGTTGGATTCTTTACGCTGCTTTTCACAGAGAATTCAATATATTTTCCATAGCTTGAAGCGTTTAATGCGAAGTTCCAGACCATGTAATTGATGAATTGCATGTTGGCCTCTACTACTTGCAGGTGGTTGTTAAGAATTGATGGAATTGATAGCATAAACATTCGCAAAACTGAATTGAGTCTGTCGTGCTTTTAAATGGCCTATTGAATAGGAATTGTCTAAGTGATTTATCTTGTTCATGTGTTAGATCAATTGATTTATCTTTGCGTAAACATTTCCCTTAATGTATTAAAGTTGTACTAATCACTGTATGTGTACATTTTATTACCAAGCAAGACTGTGGAACCCGTGCGTTTCGATTTCTTCATCGCTCAAACCCACTTTTTTGTGGGCTTTCATTTGCAATTAATAATCAAATGTAATCTCCCATAGGTTTCTTGATAGGCTCTAGATATTTCAGACAGAGTTTGATATTTTAATTTAATTCATAGCTTCTTTTACTAAATGCAAATTGTAATTAACGTTTTAATTTGAGGGTCCCTGAAAATGAGCTTATATCGAAAGGCATCCCTTTATAAAAAATGAAATATGAAGCGAACAATATGATAAAAAGCATTTTTGTTGAATGGCAAGACTCGTTTACATCTAAATAACAGTTAAATAAAGAAAATTGACGCCCACAAAATTTTATCACCCTGCACCCCCATCCATCCACACCATTTCGTAGGTGCTAGCGCCACCAGCAGTGAATGCTTTTCAGTACACTTAAAAATATGTTTTCAAACGTCGTAGTTCTTCGTCTATTAAAACTTCTAGCATCGGCTAACTGTTGCCTTTTTCCTTTCAGTGGTCCTAGCTCCGGGTGGTCTAAATGCGGTTCTGACAGGATGCAGTTTACCGAGCACTGATGGTCGAGCGGCTAGGATTCTTACGGAATGGGATAAGTACTATCCCATTGTCAAAGACGAAAAGTCGAATGGGTTTATTCCTTGTCTCGTGGAGATCGTCCATTGCGATAACAAGATGCTGTACCCATCCTGTCTTGTTGGCCTACCTGTTAGCAGATCAGGTTAGAAACTTTTCACAAATTCATTGCCGTTTCTACTTTTGTGTCGGTTAACTCGGTTGTGTCGGAAACGGCTCTGATGTGATTATTGTATCCAGTTAAGGCCAACTGTGATTACGTAGATTATTCAACAATAATCGCCAGTTAAGCTTGGTTTTTACTTTGAGATAACGTGAGTTAAACTGAAAATAGCGTGAGATAACGTGAGCTAACTCAAAATTAACCTATGTGCCGATTCGGTTTCCATTTGAGATAGATTCAATTATAGAAATACCAGGAATCACTTTGATTTGTGTCTTGCAGCTATGACAGGTGCCTTACAAGAGCAACTCTTTTAGTTCTGCTTTTGAGAAAACGTAAAAGGAAAATATTTTGTTAAAATGTCGTTCGCGATCTGCGCCAAGGTTTTCGGTATGGAAAATCTACCAAAAATGAGAAATTTTTGGTAAATACCACCGCTTGGAACAAGAACTTAGAAATGAAGACAATTTCTCTCTTATTTCACGACTGATTTTTCTTTGAGGAAAGAAAATTATTTTCAACATCTAAGGAAATGCTCAGTGAAAATGGGTTGCGTAAGAACCTCAGCGCAAACAGTTGCACATTCCCCTCTAAAGCATCGGCTTCTTTTATACGATGTTATCTCAAGTTAACTCATGATTTCAAAATCAAAAAATTTTTTTTCCAAGACCATTATATATCGTGAGTTTACCACTGTGGGATAATTTTTAAACCATCTCACAGATCACAAAATTATCTTAAATTAACTCATGTTAACTCAAGTGGACACGTATTGTTTGTACCAAGAATCCTGCCTTGAAATGCAAATTCTGCAATTTTTACGAAGGTATACATTCTCATTTTGGAGTAAACCTGTGATGAGCTACTACATGTAACATTATTTCAATTTTAGGCACCAAGTTTCCGGAAATAATGCGAAGTGACGTAAACGCAAATGAAGCGAAGGCTGGTACTTGCAGCAGAAAAGCATTTAGACCAATCATAGCACTTAACAACAGGATTTGGGATAATCTTGAGCCACGGAAAGAAAGCAAGAAGTGAGTTGCTAGAAATGTACATTTCTTTCTGTGCACTTAAATGAAATTGTTTTCATTAATTGAAAAACACAACCGTGCTATACAGTAAGGGACTACGCCATGTTTTATATCATGCTATAAAACCATGTTTTTCAAACATCTCTCTTAAACTAGAATGTGTTCCACTTCCAAACTGTTTTGACGATCGAGTTGTTTCAATGTGGTTGGACTTGCATTTTGAAGCATTTGTCAGTGATATCGAAACATCTTCTGCCTCAAATGCTGTTCTCGACACTTTATTTTAGAATCTTGATGCCAATATTATTTTTCAGACTAAATAGCGCATCAAAATCCGAAGCTGCGCCTGTGTTTGGACCTAACATGCCGCTATGGGACTTCAAAGATAAATCAAGGACGACTGTTTGTGGCTGTACTTCGTCAACAAATGTCAATAGGTATGTGTTAAAAAGTACCAGGAAAGATGATTCAAGGCACAGAATTCTTTATCAAGCTTCACTCAAAGGAATAATTCCATTTCTGATATATTTTGTTCTTTGTTCAACATCTTATTTCAGCCTATCCCCTTTCTTTACCTGCCCATATATATGTTCAGTGAAACAATATGGAAGAGAGAGGAGCTGCTCGGCGAGATGAAGTTTGCCTTCCCTTAACAATGTTAACCTGTTGCATCGTAGGAAGAAACAATATAGTTACATTATTTTCTAGAATCAAAAAGTGAAAAAGTTTTGGTCAAAAATTTATGAGAAATTATAGTTCCATCCTGAACCATCTTCAAAGCAACTTTTTTACCCTCTTCTGTTGATCATATACCTTTCGCGTAGGACTTGTTTTGTGTATTCCCTGTTTGAAACGTCTCGAATTTTGATTTTAGGGTCAAGCCGATGGGGAAATTTGGGAGTACGGTATCTGGTTTAAAGAGTACATCTGGTCATGTGGGAATTAGCAGTCCATCGACAGCTGCATCTGGAGCCAATCAAACTTCGAGTGTTACTCACAAAGGAAGAAAAGAAAGGAAAAAGACTTCACTACCTTTTCATCAGAGAAGGTCTACAAATACAGAGCGTAGCCCTACACCGCCCATTACCCTTTCAGCCAACCTCAAGGCTGTCAATGTAAATACCGGGCCTGTGTTGCCTTCTAATGTTGACTTAAAAACCGAAGCCCATCTACAAACAGGCTTGCCTTCGAGAAAGAGTCCAGTACTGCAGAAATCGTCAACGAGCAGGTCTTTTAGCTCTACCGGCCTGGATCAAAGTTACAGCTCGGTGCAACTTCAGAATATCAGTCCAACCAAGGTTCTTTCTGCTAATAGCAGGGCCTTGGAAAGCAAGGGAAAATTCAAATCAAAATCTGTTCCAATTAAGGGCTTGGTGAACTATATTCTTCCATCGAACGTCATGCCCATAAAACCGGCATTGTCTAAAGACACACTCGAGGCAAGGTCGTCTTTGACTGACCCGTCATACTCATCCTTATGTGTTTCAAAAGAAGCTGAAAATAACTACTCCATTTCTGAGGTGATGTCACCAACCCCGTTGCAGCTATCAAATACGAAGCCGGGGGGTCATGTTCCTGATGGGGAGGTTATGATCGTCAGAATGCCAAATAAAGGGTAAGTGTCAACAACTTAAATGTCAAATTTTAATAAGCGAAGCATGAACTACAGGAAATTTGTTATTCGTTTCCAGTGCGTAAATTAATTAATTTACCACTGACATAGGAGTAGCCTTGTTAGATAAGAGATGATAAACCTTGGTTTTTGAGAAGATGCATCAGGAGATAAAACTGTCGTGAATATTTGTAGGTGGCATTGTTTACTACAATCATTGCCAAAAATACTTAGACCACCCAGCAATTTGCGTTGTGTTTTAATATTTTTCACTTCTTCTCCCGGATACTCCTATTTCCGCACCCCCCTTCCCCCCTAAACTATGCTGATAATTTAGAGAAATATCATAGAGGTTGCAGAAAAAAGCGTTCTTCCTAATCCCCTACGTCGTTTTGTAGTAAACCAACATTTTTTAAAAGGGGAAGGGGAATGGCTGAATATGCCCTTGGAAACTAACTTAAGTGTACCTAAAGGCAAGAATTGTAGCTAAATACTTTTGTTATTAATCCTCTTAAAACCCCAATGATAGGACGTAATGGAGTACTATCTATGAATTTATGGATATTAAAATCGACTTTGTAAAGTGCTATTTTTGACTCATTTTGCCGAATGGGTGGTTTCGCGGGTAACATGCTTTTCCTCACATTCGCTTTGTGTTTAGTCAGTTTTTGACAATTATAACATAAGAAACTCGTTGAGGATATATAGATTTCCATGTTAAATCACGCCATTTGAGTCTGTTTCAAGTGTTCGTTTCATGCCATGGAGATATACTAACACACCAGCAACCAGGTAGCGGCTGTATTGATGTGGTTGCACGTTCTACCCATGAAACAACTAATTTTTGCAAACATTGTTTTTGGTGTATTTCCGCTTGAAATAAAATTTTGTTCTGGTACAAATTTTAAAAATGGCTTTGAGAGAGGCAAACATTTTAAGACATATCAAAGCTTTACGTTCGACACTCTACAAAGTATTACACTTCAGAACAAATTTTTGATTTTTTTTTCTGACATTTTGTTCTCTGAAGAGTGACAGATAAATTTATAGCGCTAAGCCTGCGCCGGACTTACTACAATACTCCTGTTGTAGCCAAGTGATAAAAAGGGGGTATTTTAAGTGCTTAAAGACAAAAGCTCGAATTACATCGCTTCTTAATATCATTAGCAAAAACTTTTTTCAAAATCACTTCCGATTAAGCTTTTTAGCTTAAGTCGTTTATAGCCGCGATAGGCCTGTTGTTATCGTATTTTGTAGAAAAAATATCGGATCATTTTTTCCAAACAACTGTGTCATGCCTCAGGTTTTTTGAATGCTTTAATGCAGTGATATGTCTTTAATGACTACACATTTATTTGAAATCTTGGTTTAAGATAAAGCTAATATCCTTTGCAGGGTAAAAAGAACAACAGAAAATGCGAACAATGTAGATGAAAGCACGAAAAAGGTTAAGCTAGCATCATATGCACAACCACAACAACAACAACCACAACAGCCACAACAACCACAACACCAACAGCAATCGTATGCAGCAGCATCTCCTCCCCAGTCCCCCAGTCCCTCGCATTTTCATTCACAAACAGACTCTTTGTCCTACCAACAAACCAGCAACGCTAGTAGTTCTGCTCATCAACAGCTACAAACGAGACGTGGTCCGGGTCGCCCCAAAAAACAATCCACCTCACAGAGCTCTATATATTCACCTAAAAACGATCAAAATATACTTGAAAATGGGTCTATCTTGTCACCTCCTGTGGCTGACAAACGGCGAAGGCCCTCGAGCCAGTCGACAAAAATCAAAGATGAAGCTATCGTTTCTCCCCCGTCCGTTTCAAGCATCAAAGCTGCACCGGTTAAAGGCAGTAGGCGTCGACCGTCTAAGAAAGATCAATCTCTTTCGGATAATGAATTGCCACCTGTCACATCACCGTCTGCCAGAAGTGGAACAGTTGCTTTGTCTCCGTCACCATATTTGCCGTCCCCGGCGCGAACCCCCGGCTCTTCTTCTGGAATCTCATTCACGCAATCAAAAGATCTAGTCGTGGAGTTCTCTGATCGTGACAAGTTGTTTGAGTTTTCAGACGATGAAGATGATCAGGACAACAAAAGCAGGGTGAGTTTCCTATGTCATTTTCGTCAGAGCTAATACATAAATAATGCAAAGCAAAGTCAGTATAGACTACTAGTATATTATTAGTACAGATTATAGTTAGGTCTTTTTCTAGGAATAGCCAGAGTTGTTTTTTCTATGTGTCTTTTTCCTTTTGGCAGAAATTTAAACATTTATCAACTTTCATTCTCCCTATCAATCGCATATTTGTAAAATGCTTCCCTCCAATAAACTGCGATGGATCTTGTTTAATTCTCCAATCTCTTTCTTCGCAGCAAAGCCACATAAACACAGCAATTGATGCACACCCGAATCATCGCCCCCCGGCCCATGACGATGTATTCAGAAGCACATCGCTGCCGCCACCCACCACCTCTCTTCCCCATGATCTATCTGAGATGTTTCCAACTCCTCCGTCACAAGAAGCTCAGCCCCCCGCAGCATCACCAGCTACTTCGTTGCCAGGCGACTACGGAATGCCCTCAAGTTACACACATTGCCATGTTGTGATGTCACCCGAGAAGCATGTTTTGCCTTATGATAAACGGTTTGAAGAGAATGTTTGCTCAGAGGGAACAGAGGTAATGTGTCTTTGAGCTCTTCTTGTTAGTATGAGAATGTGCTAGCCTTGAGTGTCGTGAATAATATGGATATGGCAAATCGAGGTTTAAAGATCAAGGTTCCACGAATCTTTAACCACGAATATTTTGTCCTTTCGCAAAGCGCTCTACATATGAAGTTGCCAGAGCTTTTAGGTATCAAATATAAACAAGAAATGGTACAGTAGAACTCCCACAAGTAGAATTTGCACAGGTCTCCTGTTTCATACTTGGACAAATTGCACGGTCTAAATCTATTAGGTATAAATTTTCGTCGCATAACTCGGATCTTGCGTAGGGTGGATCTTTTCTTTGCCCCCTATAAAGACAAACGATAATATAGTTAGCAAATAAATTTAGTACCAGAATGAAAATATAATAGTTTTATTGTTAAAAACACGAGGTTTTGAAAATGTGCGAATATTTTGGTTTTTTATTGTTTTTGTTAAAAACAATCAAACTATTATATTTTAATTCTGGTACTAAATTTATTTGCTAACTATATTATCGTTATTCTGGATGAAACACCACACGCAACGTACATACCTATGAAGATAAATCGGACTTTTGCAACAAAACAAATATTTTATTTCATCTTATATTCTTTCACAAATATATTCTTTAATGGATTTCTTGAAAAATACGACCGGTGGAGACTATACAGGCATAACTGATTTACATACCGCTGATGGCATGATTTTTTTTCCTTTTGGGGCGTGTTTCAGCGTTTAGATATTAAATTTTCGCTTTAACGGGGCTTTATTTAAGTTTTGTATACATGTAAGTCGGCCCTGGCATAGGTCGGCCCCCTCATAAGTCGGCCCTTCCATAGTTGGGACTATGCAGAAGTCGGATTTCTCATGTGTCTGCTTATATTGTCGGGTCTGAGAAATCCAACTTATGCAAATGTGGCTGTATTTGAGGTTTTATTTTTTTAAATAGTCTTAATGAATCTGAATTTACATGATCGACCAATTCAGTTCACTTCATTTTATATAAATAATTCAATGCGAGTAATGGAACTGGACCGACTTTGTCTAAGATACCTATCTGTAATGGTATTCCGTGATTTTCAATAAAAAAGTTCGTTTTTTCATAGGGCTTGGAAACACCGTTTGTCGTGCCAGAGACGCAGGAATATCCGGTGGACGGTACTTTCACTCCGATCTCCGTTCTGCCAAGCATGAAGCGTAAAAACTTGAAAATAAAAAACCGCGTTGCACTGAAGTACACGCCGTCGTGGAAGACCGGGGCTAGAACAGCTGCGAGCTATCAGGATAAAGCCGCTAATCTTATACGACTATCGATTTCGAATTACGATTCGTTACGACGGATGCGTGCTAAGGATATTATGCCATGTTTGAGTCAAGCGGTTATCGTAAATACGAACGAAACTATCGCGAATAAAAAGATGCCGGAAATAAAAACTGAGATTATTGAAAATGAAAATATAGATCTAAAACCGTTAATCAGTGTCGATGTTGTAAGTCAAGGTATTGTTAAAAAGGAGGTGACTGTTTATAATGGGAGCAATATCGAGGAGACAAGGGCATTAGAAGTGGCTCTTGCTTCCAAAGTGTCTGTTTGTTATTCAAAGGAAGAGTCGAAAGCTTGGCCGCATAATCGTCTCTTCAAAAGTGACAAGAACTTACCTTTTATTTCAATGGAAGATGAAGCGGAGCTCATAGCTAAGGAGCCTAAGCGTCCGGAGGTTTTAGACTTAACAGGAAGTAAGGACTCAAGCGGGGATAGCAGTGTAGGCGACAAGGCAGCCTCTTCTGTTTTGCCCCCTCGAATTGCAGAACTCTTTAAAGAGCAGTGGTTGTCTCCATTCTCTGTTTTATACATGACAAGGATGTTGTCTCAAGTTTACAAAGTCGATTTTCACTCCAGTACTGGCGGCGATATGAACGCAATAATGGCCTCGGGGCTGTTGTATGAGTTGAATTCCACAGTACAAAATGCTTTTAAGCAGTCTCTCAAAAGGAGAACTCATGAACTTCAAAAGCTCGAAGGTCCAGTAACCTTCTCTTCACTTAACAAATTATCAGGGAAAAACACAGTGCAAAGTAGCCTGCCCGTGCACCCAGTTCTCATTGGCGCCGACGGTGATTATGTTTCTGTTGCACCTAATTGTTTGAAATCGTGGACCAAATTGCTCCTTGAACCGTTTTCTGGACAGCGCGATGTGGCGTATGTCGTTGTTGCTCCAGATACCGACCTTGTTCTTGAAAATACCAAACAGTTCTTCAGGGAACTCAGTATAACATATGAGGTATGCATGATTTATGTTAATTATTCTGTAATGCTAAAAACCCTTTTCTAGGATTTTGTTCCTCAGAACGTCCCAACCTTGATTTTTTGTATTTTCGCTGAATATTTTCATTTTTTTCTCAAGATTGTGAATGTCCATAGATGTTTCTGCGACTCATTTCCTTTCCAGCATAACCCCCTTTTAGTTTGATTGAAATAGTTCCCTAGCTGTTGTTTGTCTTAAAGATTTCAGACTTGTCCTAGGCTATTTGTGGGAACCATTTACGTCAACTCTATTAGTTTTGGGGTCACTCGTTGGCAACATAACAGATGTTGCTCTCTTTTTCAGGCTTCTCTTTCTTGTTTTTCTGAGCAGGTCCTTCGTTACCAGGCAATATTTTGAACTGCACATTTCTTTTAGAAGTCTTTATGCGTTACATCAATGTTTGTGTCTTTCATTCGTTCTTGTATCGTTGTTTCAAATCCATTTTGTATTTTAGTCTATGAACCTCGGCAAACACGGTCCAATTATAAGAGTACTACGAGAGGGCATTATCCGTGTACAGCTCAAGGTCATGCAAAAGTTAGCTAATGAGGCTGTTGATGAGTGGTTTTCGCAAGGTTTGTACCTTACCTTAATACTACATGTGCTCGTCTTGACACCATTTTTGTCAATCTTACAACCTGTAGATCGATTTGCATTTTTAGTAATGGTTGAAAATGAAGTCAAACACCACAGTCAGCAATTCGGTTTGGATATTTAACCCTGTTCTATTCTGTCTTTGGTTATACCATTCGAACAATTCCTGCTCTAGAAAAAATGCCTTTGTTGCATGCCTTAAATCTGGTCAATATTTTACACAGGGACAAAGACCTCACCAATTATCGCACAAGTTTGCTCTTATTTAGCAATAAAACGTTTTTTCTCTCCAGATGAAAGTGCAGAATCCATAAGAATGAAGCTGATCGCGCAAGTGTGCAAGGCGCTTCTCGGTAAGTTATTTTCTATAGATGTTTATAGAGAAGGTGCGATCTCACAAGTCAGTTCCAATTTTAGAAATTAGCAAGAAGAAGCCAAACTTGTTCTGTTGTTACTTATTCCTCGAGCATTGTTTTTGCATGGTGTTTTGTGACTTTTAAATTCTCACTCATTCTAGAGCAGATTTCCCTCTCTGACAAAATTTTTGGAATAAGAGAAGTTATGATGCTAAAATCTTATCAACGATTAACGGCCTGCCTTATGTCAGTTTAATCTGGCAGTGTTCTTTCAATTCTTTATAATTCTATTCTCGGTTTAACACCTAGGTCCGCATTTAGCTTCTCTTGAACTAAATCGAACGCTCTTTGACAAGTCACCAGCTGAGGAGAAAAACTCCGCAGAAAGCACTCGACCAAAGATTCCAGGAGCCAATGCTAACTCGATTTCAGGCCTTCATGGTTTAAGGTAGGGTGTTCTTAATAGATGCGAATTTTTTAATAATCATTTTCATTACAAAAGAATGAAATGACTTTACTGTGATGAAATGAAATAAACGGTTAATGACTATTGGCACACGTGTGTCATAGTTTTCTATTCAGATGGACTGTTAAGCGCCCTCTTTAATCTTTGCAGTTTTTAAATTGTGTCATGTTGAACTGAAATAAGATTTTAACATCATTAAAAAAATCATACGATGCAAATTCTCTGTAAGCTTTGATAATCATACATACCAACAGCTGATTTGCGATTATGTAACTGGGTGATCGTGCCCCTTCAGCCTGGAGCAACCCAAGGGACCTTCAAACCGGTATAGGGGGGGGGGGGGGGCTTACCAAAAGCTCGTCTTTTGCTAGGTTTCTCTTTATTTTATACCAATATTAGCAGAATTTTCGAGACTTGATTAGTATATACTTTGACTTTTCTCAGCTCTCTTGGTTTGATTCACGAGGAAACAGATAACGGAAGTAGTAACAGTGAACTCCCTGCCATTGTCGTGTACATGATCGACCCGTTCCAAGTAACCGGTGTGTCGTCTTCTAAAGAGCCACTTTGGTCATTGAACGGTCTTATAAGAGCTTTCGCAGAGATGACGTCAAGCTTTTCCGATGCTCTTAAGAATAACGTTTTCCTGCAGGTAATTTCAAAATTTTATTTCTGTCATATTTGCAATAGAGTTCATCCTGACCTAAGGCGACCGTTTTTTTCTTATTCTATTCATACTTATTATTCTTTTTTTTATTCAACTCCCTGACATTTATGACAACTAATTAATGCGATGAGCTATTCGGATTCGCCATGTTTGCTCGTTTTTCTTGCGATATGATAACAGAAACCTGAATTATATTAGAATGCAAGTAGAATAAACATACAAATCATGGAGCTCTTCAGACTTATAGCAAAATTGGCAAAAAAAATTTCTAGCAGTGTTGCTGAAATGCCAGGCTTTCAATTGACATAATTGTAAACTTCATGCAAAGTAGATTAAATAGCCTATTTTGTAGGCGAGTGACTGTACAGATTTATCAAAAAGAGACCGAGCGTGTTTTGTTTACAAAAATTATAATGCCTTCATTGCAGAGGGTTAATCACGCTAACAGTTTCGATGAGGATATTAAAGACTAATCTTTCTGCTTAAAACAAACTTTAATGTTGAATTACTCTACTACTCTACTCCTGTTGTCTAGACCTTGGATCCAGTTTCTCATCTAGTTGGGTGTTTAACTTGCCTTCTGAAGGATGTTTGTTGAAATCTTAGATTATTTATACCACTATGTCTGATAGGTGGTTCCTCTCGAGAGTATACTACAATTGAAGGCCAGCACAAAGTACCACAATGGAACTGGATTAAATCAGCTGGATTTACAACACCTTGCTTTGTCAGTCTACTCAAGCTGCCGGGTTACTATCAACTCGTTAAACAGTGGCAAAATATGCACCGGATTTGGGCCTGGCTCTTTGAGGGACAAGCTAACCAAGAAAAGACAGGTTCGCAACTTTTTTGACATTACTGGCACTTTTTAAATGATTCTTCAGGTTTTAAAATGCAGCAGCCTCTGAATCATAAGGTTGTTAGCTAGTTTTCTTAGTGGTTCACATGGGGAATTCTTTTACACAGGATTCAGGAAATGCTGGACTGATTAAATGTGGCCTTTTAAAATATGCAGAGTTACTTTGGTTGACCTCATATTTTCAATGCAGGAAATTGCTAACTTTAAAGACTCATTGCTAACAATGGGCCTTTGCGAGCGTGGCGACGATCCAAACAATGGCAGTAAACTTCTACGGATTAACCAAAGTTGATTTCAGACTGTCTAAAAATGCATTATGGGATGCTTGCGTAGCGCAATGGCTCATTGTTAGCCACGAGTCTTTAATGATGATTTTTCCATATCGATTCGACCCTATATGAAATAATTCCTTATGAAATATATTTTCAGAACATACTTTTTCCTACACAGGTTGATCAACAGTTTCCGACCCGCGTATTCGTTCCGCCCTTTATTCTTGCCCCTCAAACTTCACTGATCAGAGAGGACCCTCACACTTCAATGGATCTAGCAAGAGTAATGACAACAGGGGATGGTAATATACTGTTCTGTAGTTATTGCTTGTCGCAGGATCTGTCTTGGGTTCTGGTCACTTGCACTGACAAGAGTGGGGAAATTGCAGATACCACTATCATTAAAGTCCATCCACAGATACGGTAAGAGTTTATAGAAGTCCATTTTATTTCTAACTGACCTGATTCTGTGCAGGTCAAATTAATGGAACATTGCATTCGATAAATTGGGTTGAAATGTGTTGAGGACTCGATTTTTATGCTAAATACGTTTGGTCATAGCAAATGCTTAAAATTGTATTTTATGCTTCCTTGCTAAACCTTTTGATTCATGTTACTCTATAGCGTTGAAGCTCATCACATGTATTAAGAAAGCACGGGTTGATACAGTGAATAAATCTTTTGCGATATCTACCCCTCTCCCCCTTAGGGGGGGGGGAGTAAGCAAAAGTAATGGTCATTAATTTCTGCAAATTTTCTGAAAAGGTTAATGGTAATGATCATATCATTGAGTAACTGTGTTCGTAATGCGATCGTAAGCCAGCATAAATAGGCGGAGAAAGGAAGAAAGCTCTGTTACAAATTCCTTTTTAAAACGTGGTTGGGGTTCTCAAGTAAGTGATTAAAAGAGCATCATCTGTTGCACATTAAGTTGTAGCAAGAATGAATTCGTGGACCTGGACTTTTATAACCAATTCTATTGTAGTCAGTTTTGACAATCAGGATTTCTTCTAATGTCGCTAATCATTAAGCTAACATATTCATCATTCTTACGACAGGCAAATGCGTGAGAGCAAATCGACAAGGAAAATGGCACTGAGAAGAGTTTTGAATTTTGCTTTGGACGTTATCTCGTTCTTCTTTGAGACATGGAGGATAGTCATTCATCGACTGGGAAGTCCGGGAAAAGGCGAACTGAAAGGTAATGTTTTGATTCAGAAGTTTATTTTGAATTTCGTGCTTTTAAACACACAAGTTTTTTCATCTTTGAGGTGTTTTCTAGCGGAAGATTTGTACCATTTTCTTTTCTTTTTTCAGATTTATATGACTTGAGCCGAAAGCTGGTGACACCAGTGCAAACCAAAAAGCGTCCGGTCACACCAGAAGTTTGTGTTGGCTGCAGAGCAACAGCAGATGAGAAACCAAGGCCTACTGTACGAAGCATCACCGTTGCCAGTGTGCACCTTGACTCGAATGTCAGAATCCTTCCGGGAAGTACGAGGAGAAAATCAAATTCAGGCTCTAAAATATTCGTTGTTCCGGTTGTAAGCCAGTCAGCAAAGAGAAGGGACCGACGGTTGTTAGGATCAGGGTCATTGTCACTGCCAATGCCTCCAGCCGATGAACTGATTGCCGACTCTGTGTTCGAGGAGCAATTCATGGGGCTATTATCATCTCCAGCCGAAGTATCTAGCTCATCGCTGTTAACATCACTACATTCAGATCTAGGGCAACCAGTTTTTTCTCCTGGTGACACGATGAATGTCAGCTCAATTTCAACCATGTCTCCCTTTCAACCGATCATTCAAAATTCACCTGCGTTCAGCACAGCTTTTTCACCTGTACCAGTTATGACTCAGCCATCTTCCACCCCGATAGTCAAAACTGGCTCATCGGATGAGTTCACGAAACTTTGTCGACAGCCGTTGTGTTCTGGGTACATACTGGTGGACTCCTCATCACTTGGGAGTCACATAACCAATACGCCCTTGATAAAGGTAATACCACCTAGAATGCATTGTGCATTCCATATCAAATACTATTTCCATACTTTGTAGAGAATATCAAAAAACAATAACGCTAAGAGATCCAACGTCATGCCAGATATCGGGTGAAGAGCTTGTTTTACTCCGCATCAGGATACTAACGCTGCCTATTCTTTTGAACCATAGCGTAAAAGCTTAAAGTACACAACGAAAGAGTTTTCTTGCGCATCAGTTTAGTGATATCGCTTCTGAGCTATTCCGATACATTTCTAGAATCTAATGTTTCGAAAGAGATAGCAAATTCAAGAGTTAAGCTTATGGAAGTTTTGGAAGCCGTCGTTCTTATGGCAAGATACTCTACACAAGTGATGAAGGGACCTTTCAGATTTTATCTTCACAAACTAACTTTAGTTGTTTGTCTTCCTACGCAGCTTGTGAAAAGTCGATTTTCAAAAAGTGACTTTTTTCAACCCGATTCCCTTTATTTTTCAGTCGGATCTGCTCTTTCATTTAACGAAACACGATGTTCAATTATCGAAGCATCCACTCGATTCAGAAAATCATCTGGAACTCCACAGGTAAGCGACTTCCAGAAATTTCTGCTTCAAACTGAATAATACCTTTAATGACAAAATATTGTTTCTGTGAGAAAGGAAGTGTTAGTACATAGGTAAGATTGACAGGCGATCTAATAATACAGAAGTTGCGAGGCGTTGGATAGTGATCACGTTAAAGTTTCGCGTCCTGACAATCAGCCATACTTGTCTCAACCTTTTCGTGAAGTGATGCAATTTTTCGCTCGACCAAATATGGCGCTGCCATTGATAACACGCTTGGCCTAAATTTGCATTTATTGCTTGTTGAGAATGCATGCATTTGGAAACGAGTTTTGGCTTGCTATGTCACTAACAACAGGCAAAAAACTGACACAAAAACAATATGCTGGTAGTTGTATTTTGCAAGAAACGATGAATTTATGGTTATGTATTCTGTAAAACATCTTCTGTTAATGTATGATTGTTGGAATTTCAAGGGAAACCAAGACTATTACTGATATCTTTGCTTTACACCTTCAATTGTGAAGATATGAACCTTTAACCTGTATAAATATTATAAAATGAAATGAAGAAAAAATTTCTTCAATCTTGAAAATATTCAATTTTACCTGGCAGGTTGAATTACTGAATTTTAACTATATGTAGACGTGGTATGTGATACGTATTTCAGTAGAACTATTCAAACTCGGGTGATCAAACAAATGTTTATTTCTATTACAGATTCGTGCTTGAACAACTAGACGCGTTATCATGGCTAACAATCGACACGGTGACGGGTAAACGTCATTCGGCACTCGCATCGCACATTTTCTTGCTGACACGATTTTACGAGACTTTTAGCTACTTTGTATCCTAGCAGAGGGACAGATGCCTAAGGCAAAAATGATAATATAAATGAGAATGTCCGTGAATTTATGCGAATATATTTTAAACAGTGAATTTGAAAGACAGGAAAGTACCGGATTATTACGTCACAGTTTTTAAATATGCAGAAACGTCTATGAGAAAACGACAGTAAGATTCAGTGGGGTGGCGAGAAATTGCCTCAGTACACCTTATAGCACTAATCCTAGCATCTTACTTGCGTGGATTTTTGATTTTCTGCTGAAGGAAAAACTAAAATGCAACTAAAGATAACTTGGTAATTGAACATTTCTTCATTCTGAACCGCCCAATTTACCCAGCAGCATAAGATATCTTTGTTGCTAGGGTTCCATTCTACCGTTTGATAATCCTCTCAAATTTTTCCAGGAAATTTAGCAGTAGATATAGCTAAGGAATTTGGCAATGTAATCTTGTCACCCACTGAATCATATTGCCAGTAACTGTCCCAGTTAAAGCAAAGGGTTTCAAACTTGGTTGCAAAACTGTGCGAATCCGAACTTTGTTATATAGTAAATTGTAAATACTAAACCTGAAATAATCATTTTAGGTAAAAGCAATGCTACCTTTTGTAATGTCAATTTTATTTTGATGCATTTTATGGACACAGTGAAATATTTCGTAAGAATTCCGTCTTCATTCGTGACAAAGTGATTTAGTTTGAAGAATTCGTAACTCTCTACCGTCCCCCTGCGTGGCAGCCCATTGCTTAGAAATAAAGGTTTGGAAACAGTTGTATTCGCCCTAAAGATGTTAGGCTTCGTACTTTAATGCAAGTTTATCGATATATATTTTTATTTTCTACATAGTCAGGCTTCTGACTTCCACTTTGTAGAATAACTTGTTGAGGGCTTGTCTGTGTAACAGACGCCTCTTTTAACAATATTGCTATGAGGCTATCGAGCCCTAGAATCCCCCAGCCGTAATTTCACACCATTCTTTAAGTAACATGCTCTTGAAAGAATATCTCTGTTACTCTTGTTATCACTTCAAATCAAGTTCATTTCGTAAAAAAGGAAATTGGTATCCAGCTCCCCATTTAAATATGAAATACTACAACGCATCATTGTCCTACTTAATGACCCTCCAATTTCCACCACTCATTATTTTTCTCACAGTTCAGCTCTCCAATAGATATTAACTTGTATCGCTTTTTGAGCAATTTACTTTTGGTAATAGTAGTTCGATCCTCGTGGAGAAATTACATAAGCTACAGGAGCTCTGACATTATTAATGCTTATGAATTCAAAATTCTGAACTCTAATAACCTGTTTTAAACCCAGCATCGGCTTCACCAGGTTTTTCTATAAGTGTATTTCAAATGCGTGTATCTGTGTTCTTCTCGGTCCAGCATTTGTGCGGCGTATTTTCCAAACTATGTTATATTTATCTATTTAACTAATATGTATTTAAATATAGCTAAATGTGTGATTGTCAGTTCTTCGTAGAAATACTCCAGGGTCTTAATCGAATAAATTTGTAGTTGGAGCTCTTCTCAGCACTGATCGACCTTCTCATCAATTTCTTCCTTCAGTTCTGAGCGAAGCAATGTTCTGTTGTATACAAACTGCTTTTCGGGTGACATGCTACAAAACGACTTCCACAGTTTATGTTGGTTGCCGCGCTATGTGGAACGAAGGCCCTCTTTTCTGAATATAGGGTTTCTGAAGTAAATACAATATTAGACCATTATTTTAGAATTTGCATGCGGTATAGTGCCAGATACCTTGCTACGCCGTTCTTCTTTACTGCCAGTTTATTCATTACTAACAAATGATCTAATATCATTATGTTAAATATTGTTAAACATAGCAACACACAATCATGCAACTTTTCTACCGTTTAGTCCACATTGCTCTATATCAAATCACAACTTCAAAGCAATGGAATAAACAAAAATAAGCCGAGGCTGCTAACTCATATGCACACAATTTATTATGGGAACTGCTCTTCTCTACTCACAATGCAATTTCAAATAAGATCGAGTAGAACTCGCAATAGAATACAAATTGACATAGAAAAATTCTAAAGAGATATTTTTAGAATGAGAGGACCTCTTTGGAATGCAGTTGACAACAACTTGGTACCCAAAAGAATTCAAGAGCAACATAAACTACATATGAATTTTCTAAATAAATTTTCTTTACAATCTTAAACTTGTATTTTAGAGAATAAGCTTGAGGATTTTTAAGATTAGGCAATTAATAACATTTTTCTACACCTTTCGGTTAAGACTTTAATTCACTAGCATGCAGTACAAGAGGAATTGCGCAGGAGCCAAACACAAATCCGTTGAAAAAATGGCGTCCGGGTCATGTTGCTGGGGGAATCTCGTTGCATTGAAGATGTTAGAAGATGGATCGTTTGAGCAAGGGGATGCAGTTCAGCTGATGAAAAATGAAGTAACAATTGGACGCCTGCAAGGTAGAAACTTTATGCATGCAGGTCGTTATAATTTTCCGAATATCAGGGTTTGATCAGGGTTTGATCAAATGGTATGGTCGACTTTCAATACTATTTTTGGGGTAGTCCGTTTTTTGGCTGGACCTGCTACTGTCCCTTTTACTTACGCATCAAGAAGTATTTTTACCTAAATGTGTCAAAAGAGCTTTCTGTGTGTAATCAAACATTACAGTTGCTTTTAAAATGATGTAAGAATGCACAGTTTGTTGTTTCCAATGCCAGCTTTGTCAGCTGGAATGTAAAGCGTTTATTGATTATCCCCTGGTTAGTGATTACCTCTGAATGGAATGCCTGTTTTCGTCAGCTACTGTGATGATAGGGACATGCACTAACATATCCACCAAGATAGAAAAAGGGTATGTCATTGTCCTCCAGGCTGACATTCTGTCTGGCCAGGGCTGCACCTGTTGACTGTTGTCAAAACAAAATTGCCATATCATCAAAAATATTTTTGAAGGACAATTGATTAGGAACTGGGCTGGGTTTAGAAATATACCAGGTGCCCCAGAAAAAATGTTCTCCTTTTTGAATTAGCAATAAATTACTTTATAAATGGAACACAACAAATTATACCAAGCAAATTTTTTACAAATTGCTAGCTTTTTCATCTGACTCCCCCAGAGTATGAAATGCCAGAATAGGGATCTGAAATAACAAGATGGAAAATATATACTCAGTTGTAAACTTATTACTGCAAGTATTGAAATATTGCTACAAACAGGTTACATAAATTGTTTTAACAAAGTACACATCCTATGTTTTGCTTGCTTGCAAGATTTTTTTAAGCTATTCTGCTGTTGCATATCAAAACCCAATTTGATTGAGTTAATGAATTTGCATATTATATCTAGTACACAAATGTTTTGAAAACCAGTTTACCTTATTGTACATCTATTTCATTTTTAGCCTGTGATGTTGCACATACTGAAAATAAACTCCTTTCTGGCTGTCACTGCAGGCTAATTCACAATTCTGATAATGGAAAGAAGTATCTTCTTGACACAAGGTAGGAATCTTCAGCCGTTTTTGAAAATCTTATAGATGGAAATAAGAATTTTGTTTGTGATATAAAGTTTCAATATATGTTTATGTTTTCTTATAATTTATCTAAATACCATTGCTCATATATTACAAATATAGTCTTTAGAATCATTTGCCTTTTCTGAAGTAATTCAGAGCGGTCTTTTTTGCATCAGTGGAATATGTGGCTAAGAATAATGTTGTATTAGATTTGAGAGCTGTTAACAGGGGTTATAGATTATTTTGAAATAATTGTTGTTTTCTAGCAAAAATGGAACATTGGTGAATAACAGAAAAGTGAAAAATGGAATGGTATGTGTTAATATAATATGTGTAAATGTTTTGCATTGTGAAGGTTTTAAATGGATCAATTGTTAAAACAACTCATTGAAAATAAGTTACTTGGATTAGGCAGGCCACATTGAGCCAAAGCTGAGGGATTTTGTATAAATTAGTTTTTTGTTTTTTTTATGATAAGATTTTTTATCTGAAATGCTATCTGATGATAAGTTAAATTAACACATCTTTGCCACATGCCATGTCACAAAATTGTCTGTGAAATTTGAACTCAAATCTATACACCACAGTAAGTGAAGTTTTATGGCTGAGTTTAATTCAGTTGAACATTTTTGTAATTCAGTTATTTGTTTGGTGAGCCTGTTAACCGAACCTTTTTAACAATATTTTGTGAACCAATTATTTAGCTTTGTGAATATTTTATGAACCTTTTATTGTTTCAGACTGAAATCTCTGATGGAGCTATAATCAGTTGTGTTCACAAAAAAAAGGAACCAGCAAATGGTATATTTTATCCTCATTACCACCTCATATATTTTGTCTGCAGCATAAAATGACCTTAAATTGTTTATACCTTTGGTTTTTTTATGAAACTAAGATCTTATTAATTTTATGAAAGTTTTTTGTGTATTATAGTGTATTTAGTTTCATAATGAATGTTATAAATTAACCTAAGAATAGGGTTTTTTGAAGAAATTTTTGCAAGGGCAACAAATTGCCCGCATGGATCAGCTGACAAGGTCGTCCTACACTATTTGTTAAATGAAGTCCTTCAGGATCTGAGGGGGAATTATTGTATAATCTTACCACAACTACCTAACCTTTGATTTTCTAAATGCACGATTACCTCCAGTTTGTAGCCAAAATACTTGATGTAAATATTTATAATGTCAACAATGAGGAAATGATGCTTTGTTTTCATCAACAACTTGACCCTTCGTTCAGGAATACCGTAACTTTTAGGGACAGGCTAAAAGAAAACACGTTAAGTTTGACCAGCTAAGTAAAACCATAAAATAAAACTTGAAAACAATCAAAACCACCTTATAGAAGTTCAACTTTTTAAAGTTCTTCTTCAGTGTATGAATCACATAGGTTCCAACTTGGTTGAAAAGTTATCTCCCTAATCCTCCCTGATTGCATTATCTATGTTTTCAGATTCTTACTTGTCTCTTACTTGGAGGCTCCTTTATTACAGTCTTATGTTTTTTCCTCCAAATAAATATCAACAGCTCTTTTTATTATAGCATTCCAGTTGCTTTAAATTACTGTCCAGTTATCATTGTTGCTTATTATCACTATTTGTTGTTCCGCTAATGAGTAACCATCGTTAGATGTGGGGGTGGCAGAGTTTTAACAGAAAAATGGACTTTGATGAAAATTTGTCGTAAATTATGGAAATCTAGCAATTTCTGGAAAAAACGATGGAATTCTACACATTTCCTGGAGGCGCATTGTTTCCATAATGCACGGAATACAGAATTATTATAAGGTTTTAAGGATTTGTTCAAATCTTCACTTGTTGTCTTGTAAGAACATATTTGAATAAATGCCCTAGAAACAATTGTAAGGCACAGAATTTTGGCTAAAAATGGCCGGAACGGTGGATTTCTACCCCATTTTGAAAGCACTCGCATTTTAAAAAACGTTCAGCTAAAAGGTCTGAAAGGAAATCCTTGACGATGCTGCCAGAAGAGGTGAATTGAATGATAACATTTGTTGCTAACTTTTCCACAAGTGCTCTACCTTTCTCTTGCGGGCGATACATGTGTTTGCAAGGGCAGTCAATAGCCCGCGTCAGAAATTTGGCGAGGGCGATGGCGAGGGCAATGGTGAGGGCGAAGGCGAGGGCGATTGCCTGCATGAAATGAAAAGGCCTGCCGAAGAAATAAAAGAAAAAGAAAATGAAACATAATATCCACTTATTTGTCGCCTCGACCTTTGAACCCGTTCTGCTGATTATTGTAGATACTGATCTATTTATGCAAATATTGACTCGTGCAATCGGCGAAAGTCTGCTGCTTTTTGCTCAAATCTTTGCTGCCCACTTTCCCCCTAACTTTAGTAAGGCTGCATAAACTTTTAGTTAGTACTTATAGTTACCTACTTTTCAATTTGAGCCTGCTACTTAAAAAAATAAATGAAAACCCTGCATGGGTCAGTGTTTGGTCAAAAATTCAGAAAGTGCCAAATAGTTTAGTGGCAACAATTTGGAATTAATGGGCAGGCAAGGTCACCTTCTCACTTTACGTGTTTTAGATATCAGAATCTGTCTTTACCAATGGAACGTATCCCAGCTTGTGTAATTTTGACAGGAAAGTTAATTTTCTCTCAACCATTAGAGGGGCACCATTTCCTCTCTGCTTCTGGATGCTACTTTTGGTCATTTTCCAATATGACATGTTTTTCTGCTCTGCTTTTTTTAAATTGTTCCGTACCAATAGATTGTTTGATTCTTAATGAATTTCATTGCTTCAAAGTTATAATTTTTTCTATATTTTGTAGATGTCACATACATTTTCAAAGACCTAAGCCCTCCTGAAATCAATGTTCAAGAAAGAAATTTGGATATTAATTGCACCCAAGAATATGATTGTGGTTTGTGATTTAATAAAGATTGATCTATGATAATGTTCCAAACACACTATGATAATAGGACCGATATCTGAATAATTCTACTGTTCTACAAATTTCCAGGGAGGCAAATTTCAGTAGCCAAGCGCTTTAGGCAATTCTTCATGTTTCATTTGCAAGAAGCTAAAAATTTCTTAATAAAATGTACAAGTCTTGTTTGTAACTACTGTTTTGCAAGGGCTGTTTTTACTGTTGCCATTTTTATGTTATCTCACAAATATTTCTCGGCGACCTTCATTTGTAATTTCACAAACAACTTTGTCATAATTTTGTTCTTCTTGTTGTATACTTTAGCCACAATCTAGAGGTTTTGTCTTGTAGAGATATATATACCATCTTTGCAATAATTATATCTTCTTACCTTTATTAATTTTGTGTCAAATTTTCCTTTCAATGTTGAGTGTCTTTTATTTGAAAATTTAGTCTAAGATTTAGTGATAAATTCTGCTTTGGGTATGATGCTTTGATACCACTTTCATAAACACAAAATATTTAACGTTCCATTGCAAAAAGTGAGTACGCTATTCATCCCAAGGTATTGAAAACATATTTTTGGCTAATAGATGCTGATGAAAATGTCGAAGAATCGTCTGTTTCAGAGAAAAAAAGAAAGAGTAACTTGGTAATGTACCGAATTTTGCAGAATTATCACCATACAAATCTGTAGTAACAATAATGTTCTTTCAGATTGGCTACGTAGACTCTTGTGGCTCTTGTTGTTATGATGATTTTTATTATTTTTCTACTGAATTGATCAGACTATATCGAAATAAACATTTTATACAATAGTGAAGTTTCTGTAATATATTTTCATCAAAGTATTTTGGTTGATTTTACATTTTGAAAGAAGCAAAGATTTCTTAATTTTGTAGCATATTATCATGGTATATTGGTACTTGTAAAAGGCACTGTGTAATGATTAAGCCTGCTTAACACTGTCGAGAATGTCGAGAATAGCCCTAAAACTGGATATTATCCTTTGATTCAAGGTCAAAGTTTGCGTATTTGCTAGCGTGATAGAGTTTTTCCGGATGCGCGTGGCTGCCTGCTGATAGCCAACAAATATTTGAATAATCCTGACAAGCACGCGAGTTCCTGCCACGTGCGAAGAATGCTGATACCCTTCTCTCTCCACGGTTGTTTGTCTCTTTTCAGGAATTGTAGTTTCCATTTTATGTTGCATTGCAACGATGCCCTTTATGAAGAGCCTTTTGGTGACTTCCAAAAATCGTGCCCTCTCATGCTATGGATATTTCCTATGTCCCTGGATAAGGCTGATCCAGACAGGGGCTGCCTTACCCCCCCCCCCTTCCCCCGCCTTTATGAGAAACTCTGTGAAAACTGCCCTCGGTTGAAAATTTACTGACCGGAAAGTCTCTTTTCGAAAAATTGAATAACCCGTGCATTGTTTCTATATCTCCAAGTCCCATGCAAATCGAAGTTGAAGCTTTCTGCCCTAAATCAACCTTAAGCTCCCCCTTTGAAAGTTTTGTTTTACTATCTAAAAACCCACAGAAGTTCTCCTTGACAGTTCTGTTGGAGGCTTATTTCTTCAGTTACATTTTACTCTACCTGGGCACTACCCCTGCAAGTCCAAGACAAATTTATATTATTATAGAGGTTTCTCCATAGTAAACGTACCACCGTTCCTTTGGTTGCCTTGAATAGTACACTGACAAACATTTTGTCTTTATTATGAGTTATCAGAAGTTTAAAATGTGATTTTAGATTTTAATTTGATATTTGATTTAAGAACACAGAGGATGGTATTCAAAGCAAAATCCCTCGAATTGACAGCAGCTGCAGAGCAAAATCATTGGAACCTACGAGTGAAAAGATAAAGGAAAATGATCGGGAAGTTGAGGAAAACTTAACTTGCGGTATCTGTCAGGTGAGTATTTAAAAAGAGAGCATTTCAGCCAGTACGTTATATTTCTATGACTTCAATTGGCCTGTACTCTAAATCTTCCTTTCATTTTTTTCAATCCACCCAATTTTATTAAACTTTATGATATATCTAGATTGGCTTTAAATGAAAATAAGAGTTTCCCGTTTAGGCAGACTTGCAACTTAGAACCGCCCTGTAATATACATCAAAGTGTAGATTGACGTTCTGTTCGCTGTAGGGCAACTAAGACGTATAAGAGTGTAGTAAATGTTTCCTCAAAATAGTTTATTCTCTGATTACCTTAATCCTTCCGCATAAAGGAATATTTTCTTCACTGGTGGACTCTCGCTCTTTTTTTTAAAAACCTCAAGCAATTTTCTATCTATTTAGAAAAGCTACAACCCTATGCAGTTGGTTGTTTAAGAATTATTTTAACAAGTAACTTTCTTCCTGATTTGTGTTTCTTTGTTTTGTGTATGGGCAAGACGACACTTAATCATATACTTTATTGCCAGATACATAATCGGCATCAAAGATACCTTGGCTAGGTTTACAGTTACAGTCCTTGAAATTGGGCCTCCGTCGCTTTATGATTTTTGTCATATATACGTATTTACTTTTTTTCTTTATAAAAATAATGCAACAATGAGGTTTTTCTGTCAATTGCAAGGATCGTAATGTTTGAAATTTGAGTTTGCTGTTTTGCATTGCAGGATATTTTCCACGAATGTGTAAGGTAAGTGATTGTTTTAAAGAATAAACTGATTCAAAATTTTCTTTGGTAGACTGGCCCAGTTTGTCTTTTACAGTCTCTTATGCTTTGTTTTTGTATGTTCTGCTGCAACAATCGAAATGTAAGTTTAAAAACAGAAACAAAGATTCTTATTTCGACAGAATTGTTGCTATGTACTATCAGAAATGAACTGCCATGCATGAATAACTTTTATGACAGAACCGTTGTGATGTCTTCTGTGACACTTACAAAATTTCAGATTTAATTCAATCCAAGATGTTTTATTTCACTACGATTTTTTTACGTTTTCTAGTCACTTTTGTATAACTGATCTTGAAACTTTTAATCGCTGTTTGTAATGTTTGCAAAAAGGTGCTAATAGTGATAAGGTGATCCATAGATATTGTCTTGTTCTATTTCGAATAAAATATATAGCATAATATTTTGAACCCTGCTGTCGTATAACCATTGAAAAAGTTATCACTGTCCCCACAAAATTTTTCTTTTTCGTCTATTTGGTTTTAAAAATGTTCAAAGTTTGTCTCGAGAAGCATTGTCCTCTTTTAAAATTGTTTCAATTTCAGTTTTTCTTTATCTGACCAAGTTTCATAATAGAAAAAGTGGCAGATCTTTTCTCCATTTTCATGCTTTCGTTCCTTGTCTGCACCATGTCTAGAATTCCCGAATATTCCCAAATAGTAATTTGTCCAAAGCAATATTTTCATATCATCGTTCTTTAGATAACCTTTGAAATCCATTGCAAAAGTTTTTGATGTTATTGCGTTTCAGTGTTCAGCCCTGTATGCATTCATTTTGTGCTGCTTGCTACTCTGGTTGGATGTCTCAGTCAAAAATTTGTCCAACGGTAAGCTTGTATTACGCAATCTATGATAAGATTTTGCTTACACCCTAATTAGAATACTGGGTTTGTGCTGATACGCAACAGAGAATCCAATAGCTTTTGCACGCATGTAGATCTGTGCTTATACATGCCCGCTCAACGTTTAGCTTCGCTAAAACGATACCGACGTAATTGTTGGTTGAAAGAACTGCAAATTATTTAATGTCAAAAGTAACATCAACCTTATTTCTCTGCTTACAACAATAGTAGGTTTTCTGTGTTCGTGACCCCATCTCCTGCTCAGCGAATAACCATGGTATTGATTTTCAGAAATGTTCCCCAGTAAAGAATATTAAGTTCCGCGATACATATTTTCTGAGATTCTTTCCACATTCACTTCAAAACAATATTCTGCTGCCTCTAAAATATTTTGCCGTCACATCCTTGATTTTAGCCTCTCTATTTACATATTAATAAACGCTGTATTTGTGTCCGTGCCAATTGCGCCCAGAATATGTGTCAAATGAGCAGTTTTTAACCGTTGCTACACCATACAATAGAGGGCTACTTCGGCCCAGTATTTTATGCAAGTTGATCTTTAAATAGCATCGTTGAAAATTGGTACATTTCCTTTAAATTTCAGTGTCGTAAAAGTGTAAAACAAGTTGGTAAGAACCATATATTAAACAATCTTGTCGCTGCTTTCCTGAAGAAGCACCCAGGTATTTTACTGTTCCTGTTTCTTTTTATAAAAAAAAATTTTCTTAGTTTCATAACCTTCATTTTTTTAAAGTTTCCCCAGCAATGCACGATTTCATTTTTAGAGCTATATGTATTGAGTAAATATCGAAGAAAGTAACTGGATGATCCGTAAGCAAGTTGATAAATACATTGATAGCTGATAATTCCTTTGATTCCTAGTAAAAAGTAAATGTTTTAGGTGTCTAGGCTATCTTGCATTGTACATAAACAGTCCACTAAGAAATGCAAAGGGCAAATTTTCTTGACTGAGACAGAGTATTTTCTTATGTCCCGAGACAAGCTTTTCTCACCCTCGGATAAGAAATACAAATATATGTGAAACTGTTTAGTCAAAATTATGCACTACAGATAATTAGTGCTGCAATCGTACGAGGCTGCCCAGGTAGGACTGGCAGTAAATAGTTTGTATTCAATCTATCTGCACCTTTCCAGAGTGTCAAAGAGCAAAGGAAGAACTGGATGAGATGAATAAAAAGGATCTTATCAAAGGACAAACAGTAAGATTGCATCTATCTAATAGCTCCTATCCTATGTTTATATCCGATGGGCATTCTTGTGCTTTACAATGCATCGTTGCTTTCTGATGATGCTTTTAATCTAAATAAAAGAAAAATAAGCCCTTTGCTAGGTAGAGTGAACCTGGCCGAGAGTTGTCGCATTTACATGAAATTCCTTTCCATAAGAAATCATGAATCAATCACCTAAGAATATTTATCTATTGTGATAAGAAGTACCTTTCAAGTTAGACTGATTGTGCAGACATTTATGTCTCTTTTATGGATGCAAAATGCATCAGTGGTGATGATAACACATTATCTTTGAATGACCATCGTTGTGAAAGTAGCTCATCATTCTTTCAGAGTCTCTTTATGTTACTCTGAGTTTAATACGTCATTGCTCCATCCAGCCCCCTGCATTAATGGTGCTCTTTAAAACTCAAACCTTGCATGCAAATGGTTTCTACAGGTGAAAGTTCAAAACGCATTTGGAGATGACAGTCATTTCAATGCAAGCCAGGATTACGACCTAGAGGAAGACGAGGATGAGGATTATGAAGATGATGACTATGAAGACAATGATGATGATGATGATGACCTCACTGTCGCTTTCCACCAGCCAGCCATTCCTTACCCGTGAGTAGCAATGCTCTATTTCTAATACCGATTTGCAGTGTGTAGTATCAGTGCTTTGTTGCCGTCTTCAGTTACCGCTTCAGTGACTCGTTCTAAGAGCTCGTGAGAGTAATATTGTTTGGTGCATACCGAATTTTTGCGAGGTCTAAATGGAAATGTTCGGAAACCAAGCCCCATTATATCTTTCTGTAAAGTTTGCCAAACAAGTAGTTTTTACTTGATGTGCGTGAGCTTTTGCATGTTAGCTTCAAACTTCGTATGTTTCTTAAATCTTGGGTTTCTAATTGTAATGGTATTTTTACCATGCTTTGGGTAAATCATTGTTATCTAGTGTTGCTCGTTGTTTTTTGGCGTTATCCTTTCGAATCTCTTGTTAATCATTGCTATATTTCGCTTCCTATAATTATCTGGTGCTAGCTATTGTCATTTGCCGTTACAAACTTTTTTTTAGGTCTTTTCACCGTTCATGGTGAAGAACCTTCGGTCAGTTTGTTTAGGCTATCTCCAACTTCTGTGCACACCTACAATCCTTGCCAAAATTGTTGGAACACTTGCGCAAAGCTGAAGCTTTTTTTGAAAAATCCCAGTGCTTGAAATGTATCATCAGCATGTTTTGCCAATTGCAAACATGATTTCCTCCAAGACTTAGTGATAAATGAGCACCGGAATAAATGAATAAAAATTTGCAGATGAAAAATTTATGAAAAGTTCGTTAAATCGAGGGTAATTATGATGAAAGGACCTAAAATTTTGTTCATAATAAATAGAGCTCGTTATCTCCGGGGTTAGTTATACCGAGAGAATTTGTAAGGAGTTTGTTAGGCAGAATCCAAGAGACCAGACATTTAGTTCGTTATACCGGGAAGCTCGTTATTTCCAGGGTTCGTTATATCGTGATTCCACTGTATTGCATTTCTCGTTTTTTGTAGCTCTACTCGTTGCTATATTTGTCAAGTACTTTTCCGCTTTAGATGTTTGTAGTTTAGGCGCTTTTTTGTACCCAAACTTCATGTGTACACTTTTTTACTGACGCTCTATTTCCACCCTTCTGTCAAGACAGTTAAGCAAACATGCAAGTTGTGAAAGTGTTCAAACTCATTTAAAAACCTTGCCTATTTGATTAGCTATTTCTGGACTTTCAGTCGCCACTTTTCTTATCTTTTCTATATTTTCGACCGGTCGTATTATAGCTGAAATAAAGGATTGCCTGAATATTATGTTACAATTAGATGCTGCTCTGAGCTGGCTCACAAGTTATTTAAATTTCAATCTGTTTTAGGCACATTTTAGCAAGAGTACCTAGCTTGTAAGTAAATACATCAAAACTTTCATCTTTTATCATAAACTAAAGTCTTTTGTTATGTTTTCTTGTATTACGAGCGTTTTTGGAGATTTTATGCTGACATCGCATTCAATATGTCTGCTTATAGGCATCACATTAGGTTGTTCCCTTTTGCACATAAACAGAAGAAATTTGTTTTATTCATTTTTGTGTTTTGGATCGATAGAACCAAAAACTCCTTGAAATGCCTCTTTCTGTGTTTTAGCAAATTACACGTCTCAGGCATCCAATGACGTAGCTTGACCTTCCAGACGACTAGATGAAGATAAATTTAGGTGCTATTTCACCTACCGATAAACGATTTTACCGACAAAACAGGGAATTTTTGCACCAACTAAAAATTTACCGACAAACTCATGAAGAATTGGAGAGGTGTCACACTCCCTTACACCTCAGCTAGCCACGCCCCTGCAGGCATCCTCTACCCATTGCTTGCACTATACTAGATCTACCAAAGTGACATAGTCCAGTGGAAGTGCATCACCAAAATATTGTATAAAGGTTTTTTAACTCTGTAAACATATCACTGTTCCTAATACTTTTAATTATTTACGGCTTCCTGATTAGCAGCATCCAAAGTTAACAAAATAGTTATATGCTAAACATTCACTAGAATAGCGTATACTATTTTATGTTGTATCTAAAATCATGAACTGTTTGATTTTAGATTTTCTCGTCCTGCTGATGCGCGTTGTAGACAGTGTCCAAACTTTAATTCACAGAGCAATTCTTCACAAGGAAACAATGGTAACTTTAATTTCTGGATATTGTGACTAGTAATGGTACCCATTCCTTAGTTTGAATTATTAAGTAAAGAGCTGAAACGATTATAACATGCAATACAAACTTTTTTCTGTAATTTTTAACACCGGAAATCCAGTGAGTTATCTCCTGTATGTGTCTAGTATATTGGAAATATAGAAAAATAAAATGAAATAGAAAAATAATGATAGTAGTATAGAAAAATATGGTTTTAATTTGTTTCTCTCTGGGCGCAATTTTTGACACTCTGCCTAATCGGCATGGAGCACTTTATGACAGACCGGTAAACAGTAATTTTTATTATCTAATATATTATACATTTTTTTAAAATAACCTTTTCATGAATATTTTTGAATCGGCGAAATGTTTTCTTTTGCTACGAGATATTTCTTTAGAGAATTCAACCACTGATTATTATTATTATTATTTTCCTGCTAGATGTCCCTGCTGCTGGTTTTACTTGCTCCCTAAACCAAGTCCACATTTTGTGCAGCTGTTGCAATCAGTGCTTCCCTGATCGAAGAGGCACGGTTTTGTCAGCGAAAAAAGCTGGTGCTGCAAGTAATGCATCACAACCTTCAGAAAAAATAAACATGGATATTCAGTGTACGTTCTTTTTGATTTCAGTTTTCTTGAGAAAAATCAGCACTTACTGCAAACTTACAGTTGTATCCGGTTACATGGTTCCTCTGATAACTCGAACTTTCACCAAATCGCACTGATTTCAAAAGTCGTACCCAGAAAAAGTTGGATATCGCTAAGCCAGACGCCAGACTATTTCCTTACATCACTCACCCACTGACGGGCCGAGTTAACAGGATTGAACTGTATCTACTTTCAACGACCGTCAATATCAAAGTTTTATTGAAATTTAAGAATGAATTGCAGTGTCATAATTCATATCACGCAGTGTCATAGCAGTGTCAGTGTCATAATCTATTCAACGTAAGAATTGTCATTGTAACGGAAAAATAGTTTCTTAGAAACAGTTCAAACAGCCATTTAGGACTAGGAAGAACTCATCTGGAACTGTTTGTCAAAGGACGTTTTTGTTCAATATAGCTACGTAATAACATTTTTTCCCATTATCCTCACAAATTAGATTTACTTTTACCTGCTCTTGTGGCCCCATCCATTTTTCCTTTCCAGTCCACATGGTATTTATAGATTTGAGTTTCACCTGTCCGACAATATCGCGTTTAAAAAAAGGTCTTACAATATATAATCTGTTAACTGTAAATGGTCAGATAAGGATGATGAAGATGACTCTTTACTAGAATGCTGCAGAGTGTTAGACGCGAAGTAGGCAGAGATAAGAACATCACTGTGTATAATCTCTGAAGTATGACCGTTCATTTCTACCAGTGATATTTAATTTTTCTGCTCTTTAGGTACAGCATGTGGAAGGCTTTATTGCAATCTGTACTGGGGATGTAGGAAACCTGGCTGCCTAGGCTGTCTGAACAAATTCGAAGGTTTTTATTTTAACCAGCTTGTTATGGAAGTTGTAGGGTGGGCGAACAACTGGACGTCTTCTTTCGACAAAGTGTAACCTTTCATCGATCTTCTATCATTTCTAATCGATTTTCTGTCCTTTCGGATAATCATTGGAATTGACCTAAAATCACAAATTTGCATGCTTTTTGGCTGCGTGAACAAAAGGAGACTCAGTTGCTTGAAGACAAAAGTTGTTTATCTTTCCAACAAGAAAATTATAAGACTGACAATGCTTTTATCTTTCATTCGCTTATCAATTTCCACTAGACTAAACATAAAGTTAGAGGACGTGTATATTTCACAAAGAGACTCAAGAAAATTCAAAGAGTGCACTAGTATTTAAAGGCAGATTATGTAATGATCTTTCAATTTTAGTTAACATTTGTAAATGAAATGAGTCAGTGAGAGAGACAGATCAGCAGAGGAACATTGCGTTCCTTTTCATGTTGACAGACAGATCTAAAACAGCTCACTGATGTCATAATTTATGCGGCAGGCTGCTGTTTCATGATTTATTCAACAGAGGGCTGACCTTCTTCTCTAGCATCGTTTCCTATGTTTTTATTGGCTGTGACATAACTCATTTCCAGTTTCTTTAGAAATTCATTATCACGAACAATCATATCCAGCTGCATTAATGTACTTTATTAACATTGTCGCGTTGATATTGCAATTGCATTAGTTATCTACTCGCTTTACACACAATTACCAAAGCCTGCACTGCCTCAAGGCATGTTGCTGTGTATACTCATTCAATCGAAAGAAGTAACCAAAACCATTTTGGGCACCTGATGTCTTATCGAACAGATAAACCAGATCCATTCTATGATTATCGTCATAAGTCAAATGTTGTATGTGTTTCCCTCAATACGCGAGGGTCAAGGCGATCCTAAAACTGATTGCCGATAGGAATCTATAGAAATTTCGGGGTGGCTTGTAGCATAATGCTTTTGGCTTGGAGAGAGCCAGAGTGCAAATCGGTACTGGATAGGATTTTTTTTGAGATTATTGGGGTGGCCTGTCGCATAATGCTTTTGGCTTAGAGAGAGCCAGGGTGCACTCTCCTACAACATGACTTTGCAAACTTTGTTTCTTTTCCTTAATTGAATAAGAGACGGATACTGAATAAATAAATTTTATTGCTCTCCTTCAGCTGAATTGGCACCGGATAGGAATCTCTAGAGATTATGGAGAAGCCTTGCAAATCAACCTTTTGGCTCTGGGGGTGCACATCCCCACGGCCCGACTTTAGAAAATTCTCAGCCTTTTCCTTACTCACTTCTTGAGCCTATTATTGTAAGAATGAATAAGACTAGCGGCCTTTTCCCTTTTCCTTTCGAATTTTGTTGAATTATAGATTCTAATGGCGCAGTAACGTTGTTTGTTTAATTTACCTAATACTTTGCTTGTATCTCTAACGCTTTTTCAATAGACTTTTTGATAGCCAAATAATTGTATTCTGCAGATTTCAACTTTGGAGCTGCCTGTCTTTCGAGAATTCTCAATAATAATGAATTTGAATCAACCGTTTTAAAGGTTTGGAACTTACTTTTTTCGCAGCTCGACTTTTTTCAAATTGTAATTTTGGCAATTTTCAAACTGTTTCTCCTTCAGATACTTTAAAGCTCTAAAGTATGTCTTATTTGTTTCAGAATTATCTAGCTCAGAAAAGCATTGGTGTCAAAGATTTACTAAAGATCTGTGTTGAAAAGCTGCAAAGTAAAGAGTTTGTCTGCCCTTGTAAGTCCAGTAGTTCTGCACTGCATTTAGCCATGAAGCTGATAGTTTACTTGAAGGGCTGTTTGTACAGACAGTCCTATTTTTGCATGCCTGTTTTACAATTTTCCCATTATTCCGGCTCTTTACTATTTCATAGCTTTCTCATTTCGCTTGACTGCTTTCTGTTCTATACGCAGTATGTCTATATATCACCACACCATGAGAGTTATTTAAACATAAAAGACGAAATAATTTTAAAATATTTTTTTCTAATTTTGTTGTGATTTTGGTTTTAGCAAGGCCAGATCTTACAGCAAATGATATCGTGTGCTTTAGCTGTGGTCTCCGTTACTTCAAAGAACTAACCTATCAGTATCGAAGTCATATACCTGAAGGAGAACTTCCAGTCGAAGTTATGAGAAGAGACAAATGTTACTGGGGTAAAAATTGTAGGACGCAACAACACAACAACAATCATGCAAGGTATGAATTCTTTCTGTTGTTGACATAATTCAAATGGATAATACCAAAGGATGTATGTTTTAGCAGTATATCATACAAAACAAGAGCTAGAATAATAGGTATGCATAAAACCACAAAGCTGGACGAAATGATATGCTTGCGATTGCTCCAAAGCCTTAGTGGTTCTTTTTCATACTTTCTAAATTTTTAATTAAAAGAAAGACGCGTTTTCGTCCTTATCAAAGTTTGCAGATCTTATGTCTATGGCATACCCATGCAAAAATTGAAAAGAGTGGTACAGTACAGTAGATTTCCTGGCACTGGTGCAGACAAGTTTGTCTAACTTGCAAAACTGACAAGTGGGGTACACAAAATGAAGTTATTGCTGGCCATTAAAACTAAATTGTTGCTAGCCCTACAAATAAAATCTTAACATGAACCGATAAGAAACATGTTACCGAGGACTTCATTACTCGAAGCAAAAATTCAAGAAACAGTTAAATAGTCCAGAACTCAGAAATTTTGTAAAAGTCCATCAACATGATTTGCTAGTTGGCATCAAATTTAAGACATTAGACATTAAAGTATAGCATTAGAACGGGAGCGAATCTCTTGACAGCAATGTCATGAGCAATTGAAAACAAAAGAAAAATTGACGACTCACTGTTTGCAGCTACAAAAATTATCCCCCAACAAGTTTCTTTTGAAAAATTCTCTAGCATGAAAAATGAAACATAGGAGACAAAATATTAGAATTTAGGACATCACATTTAAAAAACTCTTAAAGAGAACAATAAGTATTTAAGTCTCCAAAAACTTTGAGAAACTGTAGTACTAAATGTCGACTTTTGTTTTAAAGAAATGGACCTCACAAAACGCTTCAAAGTATGTCTTAAAGTAAATTGTCCAATCCGGTAAAGCGAGATCGGGAAAATAAATAGTGAAGAGTCGACATCCTTGTTTGTAAATTAGTTTTTTCAAGAGCTCAAGTAGAACAGCGACGCATTCCTGATACATTCTCTATAAATTATTAACATTAGCGTTCTAGTCCCAGCGAAACAGCGCGTGATCACATAAAATATTAGTTAGAATTTCCAAACTGAACTTTCCAAATTTTTACTTATGCGTTTTTGTAATCCGCTTGCTCAACAAGTTTGTTATTATATTATCACCAAACCTCAAAGCAGAAAATGGCAATTGACTTCCGTATTTCTTACCTATCTTCAATTCCAGCGCTACCCTCTGCCTACCATCTTAAAATCTTTGTATATAAAATCCTTGAGGGCGCGAACTGGATTTTTTATGCATTCCGCCTTGACTCTATCAGATGGTAACATCTATAATCCTTTAATTCTAATATTTATTTTCGCAGAATTCCTAAATTTATTGTCAAAATTTCTTTTCGTAGCCGCTTCAATCATATCTGTGAGCAGACAAGATTTGTTTGAAACTGTTCCCGAAGGAATATCCCTCTTGTTATTTAAAAGAATTTTAGGTCTATATTAATTTCAATTAGAAAAAATGTCTACAGTAAGGAAAGAAAGAAAGTTTCCGAACCATTTGCAGCTTCGTTGCAGAGAAATCTTTGCAAAAGACATGTTATAGAAATGTCACCACTATCCTTTTTTACTAGAATTTAAACTCTTTTTATGTGTGTTCTGTTACTTAATTGTTTCCACTATTCATTATTGACAGCTTTTCGTGTGTTGTATATATTAATTTTTTTAAGTTGGTTATTTATATTCATGTCATGCGTATTTTATTGTAAATCAACGTGCTCTCTATAAGTATTTTCATCTCAAGAATCGCCAATGTCATCAACATCAGTAAACCCCAGCAGCGCTCTAAGTCCCAAATTATATATCCAGCTGTTAATTATTTCTCATCTATCATGGTCTATTTTCATTCAGTTAGATTACTAGCACTTGAAAACCTTAAAAAGCTTAAATTGAAGTTTACTGGAGAATTATTTATCTAAAAGTCATGCATTACACACAAGAAACGTTCCCTATATCCCTAAAATTAGAACTGTCAATTATATCATCCAATTTCTGTGCTTCTTGAGGCTCAAGGTCTGGAACTCTTTTCCTGACGAAACAAAATTATCCTCATTGAAAATACTTGCCAAGAACTGATTTCGTTATGATATGGAAATATTCAGTCTGCAATCAATAGTTTCCTTTATGCAATCTCTATTACTGCTTTATGTTAGTATGCATTATTATCCTTACTTTTGTAACTCTAGCATTCAGAAAGGTTGTTATTGCTATTGATATCCCGATTTTGGCTTTGATTTGATTCCCAATTTAACGTCAGTCTTAGCAGTCACGTGTCGATTTGCTATCCCCTATTTGTAAATTTTATCTCGGATGATTTTTTAAGGTTTATGAACACAAAATTGTCATTGCATTGAAGTCAACACCGTCCTTGGTCATTACCAAAATCATAGCCACAACATCACTTCTTACGCAATAAACAAGCTTTAATATCACTGCTTCTTAAAACACCGTTACACCATGTTACCATGGCTTAAATTGTTGCTGGGATGCGCTCATATAGACAAACGGCTTACAGGAGCTTATTGACACAGTTTTGATGTTTAGTTCATACTTTGTTAAGGGATCTACGTATAATTTAGCGTTATTTTGTGTGTTAACTCGTCCGCCGTTTTGTATGTATGCTGAAACTCTTTCACTATTTAGAATGAGATTAGGGTCCTCCAGTTCTTGATTTGATTTACGCACAGAATCTGTGATTTACGTCATGGGTTGAATGTTATTTTATGCATCTGCATTTCTGGTTGAATACGTTTATAGACATTCTTGTAAACACGGAGTTCAACTAAAACAAAGTTGTAACCTTTTGTTTGCAAGTAAAATTTGTCTTATATTTTTCTAAAGAAGAGGAGGAAATATCCTGACTCGGAAATTTCCATTGAAGTGCCTCTTTCGTAAATTCATCACCCCACCCCCCCCCCCTCTCTCCCGTCATTTCTTAACTTTTTCTTAAGCAACTACATCACTAGTGTACATAATGAACTGCAGTCATGTTAAGTGTTACACTCATCTACTAAAATTCCTAAACACGGGCCTTTCAAGGAAAAAGTCGTTGCAATAAAGAAGGTATTAGCGACTTTTTGGTATCAATCATAATGCACAAATTGCCAATTTTCACCAAAATTTACCTACCAGGTATATTACAATTAGTCAGCATTTACCTACAATGCAACTGTCTTGTCAGTGTAACGTAATATTTGAACCGCCCCTCGCGCACAAGTTTTACTAATTTTAATGTAATTATTTTTTATCAGCTGTTGTTGTCTTTGGATAGCGTCTGTTGTTTCAGTTTTGTTTATGTTTGCATAAATACGATTTCTATTAATGTTTTTGTATTTACGATTTGAAATCGATATGAATATTATTTGGAAACGTTTCATCAATGCTGGACAGTGCTTTACGTTTGTAATGAAGATTGTTTTTATGCAAAAATTATCAGGTTTGCCTTTGTAATCGAGACCTAATTGAGAATTTAGATTAAATTATAGTTGGAAAGATGTCAGTCGATTTAGTGATTTATGTGCCAAGCGGCTAGGCCAGAAGAATTATCAGGGGCATTGCAAGTGTAAGTAATATATGGAACACTATTTTAATAAGAATATTACAAAAAAAATTCAGCTTCGATATTCTTCAGGAATTTTTGTTTTGAGCCTGAATATATTCTTAAAGAAATTTTCATTTTTTTCAAATCCGATACGGTTTTAGGGGAAGGTCGACCGCTCTTGAGTAAGAACCACGCTTTTTGAGAAAAAAATATGTCTGTACTGCGATTCCCTGTTATGAACATCCCAAAACAGGCAACTGCTGAAAACTGAGACAACAATATGCTAGCTGAGGCTGAGCAATTCTTTTATAATTTTCTTAAAAGTTGGATGATTCTAAACCTGAATATTCTTAAAAACAGTATTCATATAAAAGGAAAAAAGAGTAAATAGGCACCAGATATTTTTGCATTTGAAATTTATTACAAGTATTTTGAATAATGCTTCGGTAGAGCAGACACGTAATGGCGCCCAACGTGGGGCGCCATTATATTTTGAACACACCTTCGGTAGAGCAAACACGAAAATGAAACTTCATGTCATTGATTTTATCTTCAAATATATACAAACGTGACTATATGCAACTACAACATGAACATAACTTGCTAGGCCATCATAAAACTTGTAGCGTGTCTTTTACATAACATCACTACTTCAAAAAATTAACCTAACAGTATAGGGCGTGAATATAACACGTAAGAACACTGGGACGAGTATAGATACAAAGGCAGCATAAAAACAGGACCAGAGGAATCCTCCTAAATGGCATGGGCTGCGAAAAGTACTGACTTCACAATAGCAAGTAAATAAATTTTAAGGTTAACGATAAAATGAAGATAAATAACCTTATCTGAATTCATGTTATCCGCTTCCAATCTCCTGTAAATATTCCTTTGATATTTAGTGTAAAATCGTCCAGGACCTAGAAAACGTTGTGTGAGGTTCGTGCCCAAATATATTTGCGCCTGCTCACAATCAGCAACAGTCTTGAAAAAGGCAAACATTTGAAAGGAAATTTCGTCAATTTTTCTTGAATATCAGGCATTGTTCGCTTACTTCTCGGATTAAGAAGGAATTCAATGGATCGTCGCATGTTCAATACGGAAAGCGCTTTCTGTGAACATGTGAGAAAGCTGGAACCTTGTTTTAAGTCATTCGTGTATTATCAGAGAATGGATAGAAACGTGCGACGAAGCTGGAGGTTTAGAGATTGATAAAAATAAAATCACATGTATATAGTGTGTATTCTTTTTAGTTTGTATTGCTGGTTTCAGGTCGCTTCATCACAACTCTTCCAGACATTTTGGTTCTATTTTTGTCGTACAGTTAGTGACTTGTAGCTAAGGCATAGAAAGGTGAATTGTCTCAATATCAAGCAAGGAAATCGAGGCCAAAGAAACTGTCACGAGGCCTTTTGCTAAAAGGAGCTGTCACAACAATGACTGTAAATTGCATTCTTCATGTGTATGTCTCACCTTACCACAATCCGCTGAATTTAAAAAAAAATTGTTATTATACATCTGTGAATCACTTGCTAAAAACTCATGTTAACAATATTCATCAATAAATATATTCGCTTCTAGGTTTTGAAAGATAAAAAACATCATTTAACAGCATCCTGAAATGCAAAGGAAATCTTGTCTCACAAAATGCTTAAAATAATGAAACTTTATCGGTAATGAAGAATATCTAGACTACGTTTACTCGAGAGAAGGTGGATCGGACTTTTGGCTAAAGTTTGTAGTACGAAACTTTCTTTTGCCCTTTAAATTCGTTTTTGTAAAACGCAAAAAATTGGAATGAGTAACAAGCCAAAAGCTATTTAATCGGTCTTCCAGTTGAGAGCCTTTGTTCAGAGGAGAATCAACTGGAAATCGGTGAAACAAAAGCACCATTTACCAGGAAAGCAGAAGTAAACTTTGTTGTTAAATATATTTGCTAGAAAATGGAGCTTGATATATAAAAGACCAAATTTTTATAAGATAGTTACTGAAAAAGGCTGTAAGTTTCTGTGATTTAAGTTCGTTATAAAAAAAACTATTTGTTTACACGGTATCTTGAAAGATCTAAATTTACTAATTTTATAATCCTTTTAAAGGCTAAGTATGCATTAAATGCAATTTTCAACTTAATCCCCCAATAATTTGCATTTATAAACGAGGATGACTGTTTGTGACCTTCAGATTTTTTATGTCTGCCCTTTAAGAAGGGGAAAATTTAAGAGGACAGCATAATTTACCATTTGGACTTGGTATGTTGCGAAAATTCCTATCTTTTCTTTGGGCCAGGGGTGATTTCCAAAAAATTTAACAAGTTGGGCTCCCAGTGGGATTTCATTAGAAAGGGTGTGGTTTCACATGACCACGCCTATCTTTCATAGGTACAAATAAGATATCTAATATCTAATCAATTTAATGATTTTATATATATTATCAATTCAGTAATATAACTTCAAAAGAGTAGATACTATTAAAAAGTTGCCAGGGATAAAAGAGAATTAAAAATTTGTGTGCACCCTACGTCTTTACAAGATCTTTACAAGTTTAGCATATCTAGACCTTTTAAGGGCAAGGGGAATCAGTGGCGGAGCCACGGGGAGGACTTGTCCCCCCTCCCCTGCTTTTTCAGAAAGTTGGTCCTTGAGATTCTTGCAAACCCGATGAGAAAACTTCAGGGGGGGGGTATGTACGTTATCTAGATCGTCACATGTAAATGACATTTCTTGGGAGACAACAGGTGTTTCCTCCGGAAGAAAGGGCGTGGTCTCTGACACACCCTTTGCCCCCCCCCCCCACTTATCCCAGGCTGGAGCCGCCACTGAGGGGAATCTTTCGAGAGCAAGATCAACGCAGAATTGTTTAGGGGGGCTGAGCCCCGTCAATATCAAGGGAAATTTTAAGAAGGCGGCTCCGCCCCCTGCACCCCCCTGAGAAATCACGACTGGGTCTCGTTCACCCTACAAAGCGTCACCTCTGGGAAGAAATTTTATTCCTATGTATGGCCCCTGCCACGTTCCCACAAACGCATCCGCACATAAGCAACTGATTATAATTGATCCAACGATAACAACAACATGTTTGTTTTGAAGCCAAACTACGATTTGCATAATTTATCATAATTAGTTGAACAGTATAATTACGTTGAGCAAAAGAGAAGTAAAAGTAAGTAGCACAGATTACCTACTGTAATGCTGATTTGAGAGTTTGGTGTTGAAGAGCTTTAGTTGCAGCTTCCACTAGAAGAGATATTTTTAGTAATAAGAACAGGTAAGAGCTCTGTTTATACTTCAATAAAAAGAAACCTGGTATGTTGTGAACTTTTACTGAACTTTGTTGGCTTTTAGGCCCAAAATGTACATTGAAAATATGTCATGTGTGCGGGAGAGTTTGGGAAAACTCCCGCCATGATCTTAGGAAAGACACAGTTTCGCTTTCAGCCTTCCTCTGAGGGAGCTTCAACAACTTTAAAATACACAATTATGGGGCAGCATTCTCAGTGCCTCATTAAATAGGTTTTATTATTGAAGATCTGTACGCTTCAAAATTGCTGCCTGAGTTTTCAATGGCTGTAAGGGTTCTTCATAAGTACTTTTTTAAAAGCGCTCTCCGAAGCTGAAAAAGCATGGTAGTTAGAAAAATGTTATTGCCATTTGCTCGGCTTCGATAGAAATTACAGTTTATGATCCCATGACATTTTTCAGCATGGGACCATAAATCCTTGAACCAGATGACATTTCCAACTCGAACTGTTTACACGAGTAGTCAAGAGACCCAACATTAACATCAACTCTACACCGGGAATTGTTATGCTTTGACAGCTGCTACGAAAATTTCGAAGCACCAGGTTAACACACTCGTTTTGAATTTACATTTATCTCTATGTTTCCCCAAGACATACATATACTATTCTAATAAAAAATAACACTAACAAAGAGGGAAAAGCAAATGGCCCCTCGACTGCAAACTGGTCGATGGGCAACCCTGCTCCTCACATCAGTACGTTTAAATAGCCTATTCGTGCTCAAGGATTCATTTGTTTTCATAAAGTTGGTGTATGTAGCCTTTTGGAGCGAAATTTTACTCAATTTGAGTAAACGTGCTTGACCTGATTTACGCCTTGTGACTCTTGTTGGTTCCCACGGTTCCCACCGGAAATGCTTTAGCTGCATGGTTCTGGCTGAAAACCAGAAATCTTGAAACTTTTCTACGCTTTGTTGGACAACAGTGGATCCAGTAGGGATCCTTGGGAATTCTTAATTTCATGTAATGTTGATACAGCCAATACTTTAGTGATAAGGGCTGTGAAAAAATTAAACCCACGGAAAGGATTTCATTTCATTCTAATTAAGTTTACCACATGGTTTCTCCTGTAACTCAGTTTGTATACCTTTACCTCGA